AGCAAGTTACATAATGATTATAAAAGGAAAATTTGAGTAGCAGGTTTATTTATTGATTTTAATGATGGTATGGTAATCTGATCTATAGTTCTCTCTGCTGGTGGACCGTATGAATAATATATAATCTCCTAGGTATGTAGTCTATTGTCTAGTGGAATTAATCATAGTCTCTAGTCTATCTTGTGTAAGCAGGTCTTTTTCATTTCTTTAACACTGATTGGATTTGGCATCAAAGAATGGAATAGAACGGAATGGAATTTTACAGGAACATTTCGAAAGTTTCTAACAGTAAAAGTGTGATTGAATATAGCCTATTTAATGTTTTTAAGATTGAAATATTGAGCTATTGGTGATTATCTTTTGAGGGATTTTGAACAACAATATTATGAAAGTTTGAACAGCTAAATGGAATACCAGTCCAGAAAGGATTCAGTTGGGAGATGATGTTCCATAGAGGTTTTGGTTTTGTTTTCTTAAACATATAGGGGGGTTGGATGGCCGAACAGTTAGCGCGTGCACATTGTATCATAAGGTCTGTCATTTAGTCAACTGGCATGGTTTTGATTTCCCGGGTGTACCAATCTGATTAAAATACAGATCTATATTTCGTTTTGTTTTTTTATACTTCCGATGGCCTACACTACATGAAGATCTGACAAGTTATAGCGATAGGTCACATCAGGGGTCAAAAGACCGACTTATGACCCTATGATGTCAGACATTTGATTAACCAATCAGCATTGATGTTACTAGTAGATTACCCACAGTTCCTTAAAAAACACACCTAAAGCTCGCCGTAACAGACTGTTTCACTAGCTTATCCCTGAGTCTATTCAGAACACGAGTTAAATAACAACTCTTCCAGATTCTAGTGTAGTAAAGGCAAGTAAAACGAACTTTTGAACTTTAAAAACAAAACGAAATAGGATCTGTGTTTTAATCAGATTGCAGTTGTATGTGATAAGGAGTAGGGTCGCCTGTCCAACCTCGTGGTTTTCTCCGGGTCCTCCAATTTCCTCCCCCTGCGTGCAAACGAATTATTGAAGTAAAATTGAACCATATGTTAGTCCCGAAATGACCTAGTTTGTGTTGAGTGGACATTTGAGAACATTTTAGTGGGATTAAGCAATCAAAAAATCATATATTATCCAAAAAATACAAATAATGATCACAGCTTGGACTTTCATTGTTCAATTGTATGAGTGGTCCTTTAATACAGACAGGGTTATCCAGACACTTAAATAGCTAGGAATCTGGGGACTTGTTGCCAACCCCACATGGAAATGGAAAGTTCTTACTTCTTTAAAATGTATTACATGATTTAGATAGTTGTCCTGGGCAAAGATAAATGCTTTTAAGGGACTTTCTTACAGAATTAGAAAATGAAATGAAATGGGGTTTAAGTCTCACTGAAATGTCATTTTGAAAATTTATCGGAGGCAGGTAAAATTGACATTAGGGATCTTGTATTATACTTATGGAAAGGATATGTTGACTTAAATTACTTGCATTATTTAAAAAATAATATGAAGCTTTTCCGGTGACCTTTGATTAGATTGTCACAGTCTGTAAAAGGGGGAGGGGGGAATGGACGGCCGAATGGTTAGCATGTGCACGCTGTACCATAAAGTCTGTCGTTGAGTCAACTGTTGTGGTTTCGATTCCCCGGTTGTATTTGACAAGCAGTAGGGTCGCCTGTCCAACCTTGTGTCTTTTCTCTGGGCCTCGGGTTTCCTCCCACTGCTAAAGACCCCTACACGAATTATTGAAATAAAATTAAACCATATGTTAGTCCCGAAATGACCTAGTTTGTGTCGACTGGGCATTAAACCCCATTTTTCTCTCTCTCTCTCTCTCTTTAAAAGAGCAGACAGCTGGGTTCAGTCCAATTCAATGACTAGGAAAACATCAACTCAGCCAGCTTGTATCGCATCAGATATACTATCGAACATCTTCTCTGTTGGGAAAGGGCATGATATTATTAACCCACGCTTTTAGAGAAAACATCAGTTTTATTTCGCAATTATAGAATGGTAATTTGATGTTTTAAGAAAGGAAGTTTGTAAGGATGGATGGAATCTTATTATTTTACTTTCAAGACTATTCTCTTGTGATTTAAAATAGCGTGGTTAATTAACGAGGTGATCAATTAAACATAATTAGATTCTGTTCTGTTTGATATAGGATTGGTTACTTCTTGATTATATACGATGTGTTATTGATGAAGTCTGTACGGTATTCTTACTTGAGGGTATTGATGAAGTTTGTACGGTATTCTCACCTGAGGGTATATGTTACGTATATACTGAAGTTTGGAAATATAAATGTATGTTATGTCACATATGTCACTGTATCTACATGCATTGTTTGATATGGATTTCAATGATATGAAGACAAATTGAACCAAAAAATCGATAATTTTATCTTCACCCTTTTACATCATGTTAATGTTTTGTAAATGTATTTATAATATTTGTAAATGTATGTTTAATGTTTTGTAAATGTATTTGTAATGTTTTGTCAATGTATTTGTAATGTTTTGTAAATGTATTTGTAATGTTTTGTATTGGTATGGTTTGTAAAATGTATTTGATTTGTAATGTTTATAAATATATATTTTGTAAATGTATTTGTAATGTTTTATAATAGTATATGTTTTGTAAATGTATGTAAAGGTATGTTATTTCTGTAGCCAAGTAATAGATCTACAGAACACTGCTATTAATTCTCTGCGTCTTTCTTGCTTTAAACTTGGTGGCTAAGTGGGTAAGATGCTGGCTCGCTAGCCTGGAGGTTGCGTGTTCGATCCCTGCATTGACCAAGAAAGTTCATCACAATTTTCCAACCTGGTTTTCCGCTTGTCAGTGGAGTGAGACCTAGGGTCTGACAAGCACAGCTATCTAGTCATTCGAATGGGACAAAAAACGAGGTCCCGTATATACATTGGCATGCACGTAAAAGATCCCCTGGCGCTGCTGTCCGGGCAAAATTTCCCTCATAGCACACTGTATGGTGTATGCCTGTCTTCATTAGCTCAGTCGGAGCAGAACAGTAGGACGTTTAAACCCATTTCATTTCATTGCTTTTAACTTCTTTGCTTTTAAACATCTTTTACAGTAAAAAATCACAACCTAAAAGTTAATAAAATACATTTACATTTATGTTGTATTTTCAATTTCAATGAAACTGAAAAAAAAACATGTAGATAAAATTTTTATGATAGAAAACCATATAAGATATATATAGAACTAAGTATGTACTTGTCTTTTAAAGCGATAGTTTCATATTTTTAAGTTATATTTTTAAAATGCATTAAAATAAAGCCTTAAAATAGATGGTATCTATAAACAGTCCTACCTTGTTAAAGAATAATACGATTAATCCTATAATTCACTATTGCCAGTTGAGAAATTGGCAAAAATATCATTTTCAACTTCAAATTCAAACGTTTGAAGATAGCTATTCCATATTCCATGGAGGCAATATGAAAACAAGGGAAGTAATTGTGTTATTATTTCTGGTGTGAAGATTTTTAAGTGTGAGAAAGATAACCTATGATCGTATAATAGTGAGTTGACAACCTATTGAGCAAAAGACATAGAAATAATTATGTTTTGACTTTCTTAGAAAATATGAAATTCTCGCTTTAAATACTACAAACTTGTAAATATGTTTTATAAACATTTAGCTTGTGATTTTATACTGTAAGAGATGTTTATTATTTACTGTGAGTCAGCCATATTTAAATATTATTTAGTAAATTGTTTCAATGGCATTTAGTAATTGAACTGGAATATACAGATCACAATTCTATGGAATACAATTACTGCTTATTACTAAGCGACGTTTCGACTAGACTTCTCTAGTCATTATCAAGCAATGATAATGACTAGAGAAGGCTAGTCAAATCGTCGCTCAGTAATAAGCAGTAATTGTATTCCATAGAATTGTGACCTGTATATTATTTAGTTGGTGTACAAGTAGGTATAAATAATTGTCTTGGAATAAAGTTAAAATGTTCGCAAACCAAGGATTAGTTGTGAAAGATATTCGATCACTGATGAATAATCTGTAAATACAGTTTTGTTATAATATATTTATTAAACTATATACTGTCAGTATATCATGGTTAATAATGTACATGTACTTTCAAATGTACGCACATACAAGGAGTAGGGTCATCTATCCAACCTTGTGGGTTTTCTCCGGGTCCTCAAGTTTCCTGCCACCAATAAAGACCCCTATGCGCAAGCGAATTATAGAAATAACATTGAACCATATGTTAGTCCCGAAATTACCTAGTTTGTGTCAAGTGGAGGTTAAAAATCATTTAAAATCATATAATTTGTACTTAGGTCCAGTAATTTAGATAACATTTCAGGCCTAAAGAAAGACCTGCAATTGGCAGATTTAGCTCTTGTATAATGTATGTTTAAAGGGCCAATCTCAGTTATATTTTGGAGAATAAAACTGCTTAAATTTGTGTGAAAATGGTATAAAACCTCAACCTTAGGGTCAAGCAACTAACTCCATATACGTGATACATTTTCAAACAACTTAAACCCATCAGTCTTCTTCTGGAAATGGAGACCGGTGTCCCAAGCTGCATTATATGGTGTCTGGATAAAACCAGATTTTTATTTTATGAAAATAACGTGTAGGTGAAATTAAGAATTTGTTATAAAGTACGGCACGTGGATCACACACTGAAAAAACCTCGAAAAATACAGCAATAGGTTATCAGGACACCCAACCAAAAAATTGACCTGAAATCTTAAAAGAGTTACGTGTCCAAACGACTCAGTATTTTGAGCTGAAATTTTCAGACAAGATAAATACACCACGTTTAGAATTAATACGTACACAGACTTTTATTTCTGAGAATCTGTGAAAATCAGGATGATCCCTTTAATGTAATTACTTTAATGAACTTGAATGGAAAATAGAAATCATTTTTATTTTCAGTTAATGTTAATTGAATGTATTTTGTATAATTCTAGGTTATGAGTTGAATATCTTCATCCTGATCTGATGTCATCAGGAGTATTACAATCAAATGATGTATCAGATGTTTATTTATTGTATAATAATTTTATCCATCCAACACGTGTCAGCTGAAATAAGTAAGTATTTATACAGTAAAGAATTTCACCCACATTAAGGGGGGTTGGATGGCCGAATGGTTAGCATGTGCACGTTGTATCATAAGGTCTGTCATGAGCCAACTTGCGTGGTTTCGATTTCCCGGTTGTACGAGATAAGGAGTAGGGTCGCCTGTCCAACCTCGTGGGTTTTCTTCGGGTTCTCTGATTTCCCCCCACTGCTAAAGACCCCTACCCCTGTGTTAGTCCCGAAATGACCTAGTTTGTGTTGAGCGGACTTGTCATATGAATAAATAGCTAAATGATAATTTATATAAAATTTACTGGTCGGCCTATATAGTATATATGTTACAGTCAATTTGTGTAATCAGTCATTTCATGTAATGACTAAAGCCAGAAATAGGCAGATTTAGCTCTTATATTATGCATCTTGATGTCATGGTTGGGTTAGAATTTCAAAAATAAACTGATTTATCAAATTTTATGTATTTATTTAAAAGTTTGCGTATTTGATGAATTATGGGGAAACTATATATTTTAATGTTAGAGCTGTTTACAGGTTTAAATACAGTTGTCTGACATAAATAGAACTTTTCTTAGCAGAATCTCAATTTGATGAAAAGTTAGATTACCAGGGCTCACTGTTCTTATTTTAATAAGAGATACTGTTTGATTTACAAAGCACTAACTAACTTGGTCAGTGTAGTACTATCCGACTACACATCTTAGTTTTTGGCCTTATCGTCTAATGGGGGGTTGGTTAGCTCTGGACTGCTTCTGTTGTGTCTCTCTTCTTATAGGACTTTACCATTGTGTTTTCTCACGATAACGACTCAAATAAGTAACAGGAACAACGATAGTGTTTTTGCTAAACATTTTATGTCACAACGTTACACAGTAGTCTACATTGCAATATTTATAATTAACATCTCTTTCTCTCCAACCCCAGTCCTGTAAAAATCTAGCCAGCTAGGCTAGACCCAGGAAAACGCTACCGCATGAAATAGTCGTCTAAAGAATCCACATGATCTCACTCAATTATTCTAGCCCCGCTCCCTTATATAGGTGCATATTCTTTTGTCTCTGTTTATTCTTTTGTCTGTGTTATTTACGTGGGGGATCACGTGGCTAAGTGGGTAAGACGCTAGCTCGCTAGCCTGGAGGTCGGGTGTTCGATCCCTGCATTGGTCGAGAAAGTTCATCTAGATTTTCCAGCGTGGTTCTCCCTTGTCAGTGATGCAGGACGGAGGGGCTGACAAGGAAAGCTGTCTAGTCGTTCGGATGGACGAAAAACCGAGGTCCCGTGTACACATTGGCGTGCACGTAAAAGATCCCTTGGCAGTTGGAATTCGATATAAGAGTAGGCCCTAGTGCCGATGTCCGGGCAAAATTTCCCTCATAGCACACTGTATGGCGTATGCCCGTCTTCATTAGCCCAGGTTAGGAGCAGAACAGTAGGACGTTAAACTCCATTTCATTTCATTTTCATTTCCGTTTTTTACGTAAAGAACTGATAACAGCTAAATTCCAAATATGGAATGGACATTCACCCCAAACCTGTATATCGACAGGGATTGTTACCTAATTTGGCCAACAAATATGATATATGTTTTATAACAAAGAAAAATGTAAATGACCAACATGTTCATTAATCTATAGCTCAGTTAATGTATCAAAATAACCAGCATATACTTGCAGTATTTGTGGTTATGAAGTTAGAATCAATAATAAAAAAGATAACGCTATTGTTCTAGCCATCATATTTCTCCATTCTTTGTCTTTAGACCCCATGTCTTGTTATTGTCACAATATTCATAAACAATTTTAATTTGCCTTTCAGAATTTAACGTATACCATAGCTAATTTTTTGACAATGGAGAATAATTAATCAAAACCATAATATTATTTTACATAGCGGTTTTTAAGCACAAATTCAGGCCAGTTTTTTATTAGTTTAGGTTAACCAGTACAGTTATTGCATCAGAATGTATATGTATGCATAGGATATTTTGAGACTGGACAATTGTGACAGGATGATGTAACTTGACCTAAATAGAGAGTACTGAAGAAGTTAAAGGAATACACACACTCCAGTTGCTATATCATTACACTCACACTGTCGTTCGCCAATGTTGCAATTTGCGATAAAAATATGAAAGTGGCGATTAAAATTTGATTTTGGCGATGACACTATGGGATACTGGCGATTCTTTTTGAGATCTGGCGGAAAAAAATCTTAAAATTCTGATCATATATAGCCTAGTTTAACCTTTAAATTGAGTGTCAATCACTCGCTGCATACTATAAATTAATCAACTTGCTGATAATCCAGATCGTGTCAATGAGTCATACTTACCAATTGTCGCGGAGTAATGATTAGTTGATTGATAGTTACCAACGGTATATGTAAAGCCTATCTTGAGTCATTATGGCTGATAATTAGATATTTTGATAATTGAATTCTGTTTACTGTGGCTTTATAGTTTATACGGCATGTACAACATACAAGCGTGCCTAATTAGATATTGGATAAGCGAGTGAGAAAACGGTCTGCCATTTGCTTCATATTACTGCCGCCAAAATGCTCTATAGTGAACGACAAGTACAACTGAAAATAACAAGAGGCTTATTGTACACGCAAAACATAAATTTATAGAAAATTAGCTGTCCTTGGATGAGTTTTGACATGTACAAATAGACTAAAGTCACCCCCAAAAAATCAGATCTTTATATAAAACTTGGCTTATGTGAAGAGGATGTTTTAAGTTGTTGTATATTGTATATATATCGGTAATGGTTTTATAATAGGCTTGTCTGAGAAATAAAATTGTTACATGTTGTCTTATTTTTTATCACACATTTTTAGCAGATAAAATATTCCAGTTGACGCAAAAAAATATGAACATTTTCGTAGATAAAAATTATCATCCATTTTGGCGGAAAAAAAATGAAAGCCAATGTGAGCCCTGTAGATTACAATCTAGGAGAGAGAAAAAAAATGTAAAAAAAAAATGAATCAGCAGAATGCAATTGTAATCTAATTTAAAACAGATCAATTCCATTCTGTAATGTAATGACTTGTTATTTCTTTTTGTAGAATGGCTGGCCGTACCACAACATACAGTGGTTTTAATCGGACAAGATCTTGTGTTAAATTGTTCGGCGGAAGATACAGATGGCGCCCAGTTATCTTACAGATGGCAGTTTAATGAAAGCGTCGTTCCTGATAGACATTCCTTATTTCTTAATCATTCCTTATTAATACCAAGGGTAACCAGTGACGATTTAGGACAATATAGATGTATTGTTAAAACAACAACAGGACCTGAAGTTATCTCCCCTGAAGCCACAGTTATAGAAGCCTGTAAGTTTTAAACATGTGTTCCTACGAGTGGGGGTGTTGGGTGTCCGAATGGTCTAATGCATGTAGAACAGGAGGTCTGTCAATGAGTCAAGTCGTGTAGTTTCAAGGAGAGACAAGGAGTAGGGTCACCTGATCAACCTCGTGGGTTTCCTCCCGGTTCTCTGGTTTCATCCCACTGCTAAAGACCCCTACGGACAAGTGAATTATTGAAATAAAGTTGAATCATACGTTAGTCCTAAACTGACCTAGTTTGTTTTGAGGCAAAGTGTGAAACTAGGTTATCTATTCAATCCTTTTATTTTACTTTTATCTGAAAGCGCTTGTACTAGATTTATAATGGCCAGGATAAATCCAATAATGGACTGACAAGTTTAGAATTATAAGATAATGCTTGTATGTTTTCTATTTGTCTAACCTGGTGACATGGAGCAACTAGATTAGAATCGATTGAAAAATACATCTGTGAAATGCGTTTGAATTTTACTATTCTATAATATTTTGAAATTCAATTTGTTTCTTTATTATGCGACAATCTCACTAAGTTTTAAAAATTTCCTTTAAGAATGAAAATTATGTTGTAAAATGTTTTCTGTATCATATTCACAAGCTTTAACTGTCAAAATGTGAATCGAAAGATGACTCCAAAAAACACATTTGAAATTCATGATCCAGATTTGATAGGATATGCCACAATGAACAATCTCAAAAAATTATATCGAGACATCTTTTATATATCATATAAACAAGGAAAAAAAGACGTTACTTGTTTAGAAAACTCTATTGAGAACTATAAAATATTATCAGAAATAAGGTAAAAATAACTATGGAACGTAACTTTTTAGTCAAAATATTATCAGAATTTAAAAATACCAAAAGCGTTAAATACTTCAGATACAAAACATTGGACAAATATTCTTTAACCTTGCAACCCATCTTTTATGTATTTCAGTTATTGACCAGTTTCTTATCTATCCACGATCATTTCGTACCATCGAAGGTGAAACTATTGTATTTGAATGTGTAACAGGAAAGAGTGCCCCAAAGGCGGAAGTATATTGGGAGTTAAATGGTGCGAAATTTGGCGGAGGAGAACAGTTGTTGGCTTCGTTCGGAGATTACGACCCGACAAGACTAACCATGCAATATTCTATGAAATTACAAATTATAGCCCGTCGAAGCGAATCTGGTACATTCCGTTGTGTGTCTGTGAATCCTCTGTTAAAGAAAACCGTTTGGAGTGAAGACGCATCGCTATATGTTGATAGTAAGTAGATTTAATTAGTGTTCAGTGTGGAAATGAAATGAAATGAAATGAAATGGGGTTTAATGTCTTGCGGTTCTGCTTCGACTGGGCTAATGAAGACGAGCATATGCCATACAGTGTGCTATGAGGGAAATTTTGACCCGGAAGCGGCACTATATTACCTACTCTTATATCGAATTCCAATTGCCAAAGGATCTTTGACATGAACGCCAATGTTTTTCTTCAACCGAAGAAATATCACAGACAAGTTATCAAATACAATATATATTGATTTTGGGTATTATATACTATTAGGATATGTGACATGTATGACTAATTCCTACGTGTTGGCGGTCGATCTAACCCACTTAGCCACCATGGCTCCCGTTAAGTGTGGAATACAGTTACCTGGTATACTATGGTATACTATATATGTGATTTTAGGATTATCAGGGCAATGGACACTCATCAAGAATATTCTGGTTTGAATCCTGCCATGGGTCTAGAAGAACTTAGGATTTGTCAAGCCTCTTAGGCTTAGGGTGGTGTCTGCAGTACTGACAAGTAAAATATGCATAGTTGTTCAGATGGGGTGAAAAACTGAGATATATACATTGGTATGCAGCTGATATAAATAATTACCTTATTTTTGTTTCAGATAAGGTAGTTCAACCAAATCTTATAACGATATTTCCACCCAACCATATCGTAGCTACTGGTATAGCATTTACAATGAACTGTGATCATACAGGTTATCCAGCCCCTACTGTTAGCTGGTTCCATGATGGTGTTGAATTAGCTAATACCTCTAGGATATATTTACACCCAAATGGATCAATGACCTTTAAGTCTATCAGTTTAGATGATGCTGGCATGTATTATTGTCTGATTGTTAATAGAATAGGCCGTGCTAAATCAACATCTACCAACTTGACTGTAGCAAGTAAGTACTTCCTCTCACAAACCTATCATTATTTGTTAAAATTGGAATAATGTGTCATCATTTAGTCATGTCATTTGTTAAATATATTTATTAATTGAGAAATTGTAACAACACTGTCACATGGAACCTTGGTTATCTCCTAGTGAAGCATATTTCTGAAGCAATAGCCCTAGAAATCCCTTTCTGGCCATTGCTGATCTCTCCTAAGTACAGCAACATGATAGCCCTTCGTTTAATTTCCAAACGTCCTAAATTGTCCGACCAGGAATATGCCCAATCGGACATCAAGACATGGTGAATAATATACAAAATTCTACTTGTGTAAAGACAACTTTATACAGAGCCAAATTTTGTGACATTTTAATTAATTCTTTATAGCTCTTGGAATATCATTTGTACAAGAACCTAACAGCAGTACTGTCTTCGCTGGCCAATCAGAAACTTTAGAATGTATTCCACCAATCAGCATTCCTCCAGCAACAGTCACATGGTATAAAGATTACCAGCCGTTAAAGTTACGAACTGGTGACATGTCTGTGTCGGTTGTTAATACCATACCTGGGAATTGGGATTTACATTTTTCCTCCGTACAACGATCCGATGATGGAATATATTTTTGTGTTGCTATAAATAATTATTCTATACCAACCAGTAGAACGTCTAGACAAGCCGTATTAACAGTTACAGGTGGGTTTGTACACATGGTTGACATATCAATTGTTTTTATTGTTCCTCCGTTTAATGGGGTGGTGGATGGCTTAATGGTTAGCGTGCGCGCGCTGTATCATAAAGTCTGTCATTGAGTCGACTGGCATGGTTTCGAATCCCCGGTTGTACATGACAAGGAGTAGGGTCGCCTGTCCAACCTTGTGGGTTTTCTCCGGGTCCTCCGGTTTCCTCCCACTAGCGTGGTTTCGATTCCCTGGTTGTATGTGACAAGGAGTAGGGTTGTCTGTCAAAACCTCGTGGGTCCTTTGATTTCCTCCCACTGCTAAAGACCCCTACGCGCAAGCGAATTATAGAAATAAGATTAAACCATATGTTAGTCCCGAAATGACCTAGTTTGTGTCGAGTGGACGTTAAACCCCATTTCTCTCTCTCTCCTCTGTTTAATGTCAATGTATTGTCACCCCCCAGGTCAGAATTCTTAACAATTTTTTTAATTTTCTTGGATAGGAGAAATCTGATCAAAATTGAGTTTTCAAGTTAACACCTTAATAGAAAGAGAGAAATTGGGTTTAACGTCCACTCAAAACAAACTAGGTCATTTCGGGACTAACATATAGTTCAATTTTATTCAATTTTTCGCCAGCTCGTAGGGGTCTTTAGCAGTGGGAGGAAATCAAAGGACCCACGAGGTTGGACAGACAACCCTACTCCTTGTCACATACAACCAGGGAATCGAAACCACGCTAGTTGACTCAACGACAGACCTTAAATAACACAGCCGGGTAAATACAGAAACCTGAGTTAGCAAATGATAGAGCACTTGGATATTTTATATTTATTGACAAGCATTAATGTGTTGAAGATATCTTGAAATGATTTTTGAACAAATTTTGTTTTGTTTATTACAGGTTCACCATCGATTATAGAACCTCCCAGCAATCAGAGAATTATTAAAGGGAGGTTACTCCAACTAACTTGTAAAGTAGATGGTAATCCCACACCTACCATTGAATGGTTATTTTCAAATCTTCCTTTAAGAATAACGTCTAAAATTACCTTCAGGTGAGAAATCACATGACTTATTCTTGTTGCGTGTTCGATCCCTGCATTGGCCGAGAAAGTTCTTCAGGATTTTCCGACATGCTTTCCCCTTGTCAGTGGTGCAGGACGGAGGCCCTGACAAGTACAGCTGTCTAGTCGTTTGGATGGGATGAAAAACCACTTTAGCGTGCACTTAAAAGATCCGTTGGCAGTTGGAATTGAGTAGGCCATAGTGCTGCTGCCCAGGCAAAATTCCCGCCATAGCACACTGTATGATGTATGCCTGCCTTCATTAGCCAGTCGGACCAGAACAGTAGGACGTTAAACCCTATTTCATTTCATTTCATTTAAATATTAAAACCTTTTTTTAGCCCACAGTCATTTGCCTATTGTTTTCAGCAATTTTCATAATTACTTTCAAAGTTATTGTCCTTGATTACTTTGAACAATCTTAAGGGTACAGTTACTTTCCTTTTGACTTGACTTGACTTGGTTATAATCCATGAAGTTACTGTCCGATACATGCCAATATCGAAAGGAGCCAAGATCTTTGGGATATAAACCTACATTTCAAATTTCTTCAAAATCAGATAAAAATTGTGACCTGTAGGGTGTCCACAAACAAAATGTGAACAGACGTTTGGACGGACAGGGTCGACGACAATATACATGTCCACATGAATATGTGGGCTTATAATAAGTTCAAATCCATTGGAAATGTGCTATCTCCCCACCAACTATCTACCCCTGTATTATTGGAAATGTGCTATCTCCCTGCCATCTATCTGCTTTTGTATCATTGTAAATGTGCTGTCTCCCCACCGACTATCTACCCCAATATCATTGGAAATGTGCTATCTCCCTGCCGTCTATCTGCTCCTGTATCAGAAAACTAGTAAAATATTGAATTAAATTTTGATATTGTAGAAATGGTGTAGAAGAATTAAATATAGGTGATATAGGTAAAGCTGAAGAAGGCATCTATACCTGTCTAACTAAAAATTCATACGGACAAAAAAGGGCTGATGCTTATGTTAAAGTAATTGGTAAGTCAACTAGTTTTGTTCGTTTTTATGTCTACCACAAATTGATTACATCATTTCGAAAGAAAATAATACAGTATTTATACCAAAGAAGATATTCATCTGATTTTTATTACTCCCGTACAATGCTTAAGCCAGATGATCATACATATGTAGTTTGTAGTCTTGAATGTACGGGCCTAAATAGTTTCTGCTTGAATGTTAGTCTCGACAAAATATCAGCCATTGTGTATAATATGCTGCTTGGTTACATGATGAAATCGTTAAGCCTAGCTTATGTCGCCCTACGACGCAACAAAACTGACGGTGACTTGAAATCTGCAACTGGTTTCAATCAAGTGGAATTGATCAGTCGTGACTACCTGGGCGACCTGAGCTGCCTCCAGTTTCTCGAGGTCACACATGTTTTACTCCTACCACTGGAGACAACTAGTTGTCCCTAGTCGCAAGCGACATGAGCGCACCTGAGGCTACCTTGAGTCGGCACCTCGGTGAGGCAGCCAATAAGATTTCGTTATTTATTCACGTGCAAACCAGGAACACGTAAAATGAGGCTTTTCTGAAGGTTATCACGTGGCAGTGATGTGATCAGTTGTGGCTCCGATTCTGCAACTGACAGCGGGCGACATGAGTGCGCTTACGACTATGATCAACTGGTTGCTCGTGGTTGCATCCAATTGTGGATAAATTCAGCCGTAGCGACATAAGCTCTCAGTTTCCGTTAGTCGCCGCCAGTTTTATCGCGTCGTAGGGTGTCATAAGCTAGGCTTAAGACATACAAGAATCTGACAACCCATTTTTATGTTATGCCATCCAGGTTCTGTTGTCCCTAAGGTTTTAATTTTTTTCAATTTGGATCAGTCAATTCCAGGGCTTCTCTTCAAATTTTTACTGTGGGTCATTTTTGATAACCACAGAAACTTTACAGCTATGTATGCAATTCTATAACACCATCCATGAGATAATATGACTTCTATGCGAGCGCAATAGTCTGTAGAATGTTGTAGTTACCTTGTAGAGGTCAATCGTAAAAATGGGGTTTTGAAAAATATGCTAGTTTTACATTGTGTAAATTGACAGATGGGTCCCGTGACATTCAAGCAGTCATGACCGAGCTGGAAGCCATTGTCCATTTAGATTAACACCCAGAAAGTTGTTAATTTTGAATATTTATAGTGTCTCCCTAATTATGATTTCTGTGTTAGACAAGATATTTAAATACATATTTCTAGAAAATTTGTATGATTTATATTTTAGTTCCACCAGTGAATACGAAGAGTTTAGGATATATTGTATACAACTTGTATCAAACAGCTATACTACCCTGTGATATATACAGTGATCCGTCACCTAATATACAGTGGTATAAAGGTAAATATCTATATATCCCTGTCTAATATACACTGCTTTATATCTATATCTATATGATACACTGCCTAAAGCAGTTAACACATTAGGTGAATCATTCAGTTGAATGAGTGGACACACTAGCTGAATCGTTTGGCCGAATGAGTGGAAACACTAGCTGAATCATCCGGCCGAATGAGTGGACAAACTAGCTGAATCATTAAGTGAAACGATTCAGCTGAATCAATCGGCGCCGAATTTTTTTCGGCCGAATGGTTGGACACTCTAGGCGATTGCTTCGCCCAATTCACTGATTTCGCTAGTGTGTCAACCGCTTAATATAGTGGCATAAAGTTATATATATATTTTACGTGTATCAAACAATTGTCAGTCAAATTACTCCACTCTGAAATAAGAATTAAACAATTGTCAGTCAAATTACTCCACTCTGAAATAAGAATTAAACAATTGAATTTTCGGCCTAGCCTCTATCATCATTACTAAAGTCATTACAATAAAAAACATAGTCTGGATTATCCGTTTTTTTATTTAATCATGAATGAGCGTTGAACAGTAGATTGGATTATAATCCAGTAAATATCGCTGGCTAGTGATGATATCTAGAGTTGATTATAGTCTGGATAAGTTAATTAATGTCTAATTAATAATTTAGATAACATTTCAGGCCTAAAGAAACACCTGCAATAGGCAGATTTAGTTCTAGCATAATGTATGTTTAACTTGTGAATCGTTGTTTTATAGAAGGTTTGTTGAAGATAAACTAGAGAAATTTTACTAATTTTATATGTTGGTTGTAGATTTTGAAAATAATATTTCATTATTGTATAATTACAGATGATAAACAACTAGTTTCACCACAACTCAGTACAGCCAATAGTTTGATAATAATTAATGTTACAACAGCCAACGAGGGAAATTATTCTTGTCACGGTGAGAATGAAGCGGGTATAGTCTGGTCTAACGGAACATTGAAAATACAAGGTACCTTGTTACTATTATATCAAAACAATGAGTTTACTTTTATGTCGGGGAGTTGGATGGCCAAATGGTTATCATGTGCGCGCTGTATCATGAGGTCTGTAATTGAGTCAACTGGCGCGGTTTCGTATTCCCGGCTTGTACGTGGCAAGGATTAGGGTCACCTGTCCAACCTCGTGGGTTTTCTCCGGGTCCTCCGGTTTCCTCCCACTGCCAAAGATCCCTAGTGCAAATGAGTTGTTGAAATGAAATTGAACCATGTGCTGGTCCTGAAATGACCTAGTTTGTGAAGAGTGGACGTTAAACTTTCTCTCCCTCTCTCTCTCTCTTTTACCTCCTATAACTGTTCAAAAACTATGTGGAATTTTTAAAAACAGTTCAAGTCAGTAATCTCCTTTTTGTGATTATATTATTGAATATTTTAGCAGGCCTGGAAAAAAAACGGTTTTAGATGTACCTGACAAAATGTCAGACACTAATGAAATAGTACCTGACATTTTCAACTTAGTGTTGGACATGTATTGATAATATCAATAAAAAAGACAAATCAGTGCCGGACAAAATGACAGGCACTAGAGGTTTAGTGCCTGACAAAGCCTGAATCTGTGCCTGACATTGCCTGTGACAGGTGCCTTATTTCCAGGCTTAGTTAGTTATTAATCACTGTATTACCATGGAGGTAAATATACAAAATACGCATGTATTGTTTATTTTTCTTCAGTTCCCCCAAAGATAACAGATGGTCCACTGCATCAAACAGTCTTGATTGGTCAATCTGCACGATTACCATGTAAGATCATAGGTTACCCAAATCCAACAGTTACATGGCTTCTTAACGTAAGTCTTAATAATATATTTTATTTTTGACATGTTTATATCCAGCAGGGGGGGTTGGATGGTCGAATGGTTAGCATGTGCCCGCAGTATCATAAAGCCTGTCATTGAGTCAACTGGCGTGGTTTCGATTCCCCGGTTGTATGTGACAAGGAGTAGGATCGCCTGTCCAACCTTGTAGGTTTTCTCTGTGTCCTCCGGTTTCCTCTCACTGCTAAAGACCCCCTACGTGCAAGAAAATTATTGAAATAAAATTGAACCATATGTTAGTCCCGAAATGACCTAGTTTGTGTCCAGTGGATGTTAAACACCATTTCTCTCTCTCCCTAAATTTTGATTTCCCATGTGCTTGTTCGTCATGAAATGAGAATTTCTATCTGTCAGATGTTATAATTATAATATATATTACCAGGGTACAACTATAGATGGTAATTATCCTGGTGGTGTTGTACTGACATCTGGTGGTCAGTATTTAGATATCAATCTAGTTACCTGGCAACATGTAGGTGTATATACCTGTATAGCTAATAGTAGTCAAGGTAGTGATCAACAGTCAGCGTTTTTACATATAAATGGTAAGATTAAAACTAGATTAAAGTAGTCTCTAACTCGATATCATCCACAGTCTTCCACATTGAAAACACAAATTATTTATCAGTTTAAATCCACATTGCTGATGTGATCTTCAGCGCCATTTGTAATAAGGGACTCAAAAAACGAGGTTGGGCATATTCCACAAGTCATGTCAAATGGTGATGCCATATTCTTATCTAGAGAGAATGCACAATAAATACTATCGGTGTAGACTGGAATAACCAGATGCTAGAGATTGCCATTCGATGGAGACCTCTAGCGTATTTCAACAAAAATAACTGATTTGAAATTAGAGTTGTTGTTTTTGATTTATTTGATCAAATTTCCTTTTTATCGTTGCAGTGCCAGCTCATGTGGAGAGGATTCTTGGTAGTAATATTGTTCTTATAAAACAAGAGGTAAACTTACGATGTGGAGCACAGGGCACACCGCCACCTGTTGTTCAGTGGATTCATAATGGGCAGATAATTCAACCAACACCAAACGGACGAATTAGTTTTCCTTCACCTTTTACAATAAGAATTAAATTTGCCTCTTTACAAGATGCAGGTATATTATTTTAAAGTAGCTAAGTCCGTAACTCAATATCATCCAAAATCTTCGACATTGAAAACACGAATTTTTTGGCAATTTAAATCAGCATTGGTGTTGTGGTCTTACCTGGAAAAGATGGGCTTCTGATATTCAATATTTAAGACAAAATAAACATTTTACCATTGGTACAGGAATCGTGTACCACAATGCGTTTCAGCGCCATTTGTAACAAGGTGCTCAAAGAATGAGGCTAGACATATTCCACAAGTCATGTCAAACGGTGGCGTCATATTCTTATTTGGAGAGCATGTGCAATATATACTATCGGTGTTGATTGGAATAACTTAACTGACTTAAAATGTTTTCTATTATTTTTAGGACCAATAACATGCAATGCATCAAACAATATTGGTAGTTCTCAGAAATCCGTTCATATTTATATCATTGGTAAGTAAATGTTTTTAAAACTTTCTTACCCATCTTAGTTCTAACTGAAAATATTATTAATCATTCTTAACACTCTTAAGATTTCTTGGGGGGGATTTGAACGGCTGAATCGTTAGTGTGCGCACGTTGCATCATAAGGTCTGTCATTGAGTCAACTAGCGTGGTTTCGATTCCCCAGTTGTATGTGACAATTAAGGAATAGGGTCGCCTGTCAAACTTTATGGGTTTTCTCCTGTTTTCTAAAGATCCCGAAATGATTGAAATAAAATTAAACCATATGTTAGTCCCGAAATGACCAAGTTTGTGTCAAGTGGACGTTAAACCCCACTTCTCTCTCTCTCTCTCTTTACTCTATGTTTTTATGTTGTAGATACACCAAAGCCTCCAATATTAGCAGGCATCTATCCTATATCTAAATCATCTATTAGATTAACCTGGGTAATAGTACCACAACTACAATATACTAATAATACTTACTATAGAATATATTATAAACAAAGGTAAGTTATACCTGTAATACTTACTATAGAATATATTATAAACAGAGGTAAGTTATACCTGTAATACTTATACCTGTTATACTAATTATAGAATATACTATAAACAGAGGTAAGTTATACCTGTTATACTTACTATAGAATATATTATAAACAAAGGTAAGTTATACCTGTAATACTTTCTATAGAATATACTATAAACAGAGGTAAGTTATACCTGTTATACTTACTATAGAATATATTACAAACAAAGGTAAGTTATACTGTTTTTACTAATTATAGAAAATACTATGAACAAAGGTAAGTTATACTTATTAAACTAATCGTGGGGTTGAATGGTTAGTGTATAAATGCTGTAGCAAGGTCTGTCATTGAGTCAACTGTGTGGTTTCAATTCCCCGGTTGTACGTGACAAGGAGTCGGGTTGCCTGTCCAACCTCGTGGGTTTTTCTCCGGGTCCTCCGGTTTCCTCCTACTGATAAAGACTCCTACGCGCAAGCGAATTATTGAAATAAAATTGAACCATATGTTCGTCCCGAAATGACCTAGTTTGTGTCAAGTGGACGTTAAACCCCATTTCTCTCTCTCTCTTTCTCTATTATAGAAAATATTAGAAGCAAATTTATATAATACTATGAACATAAAGCAATACTAGCATACGCTAGAAATAAAGATACTTAATAATTGTCTGTGATATCACCTTTGGTGGAAGTGGATGTAAAACTCTAGGAACGAACAAACAGAAAAATAGTATCAATTAAATTTGTTAACAAGGTTCAAACCTAGGTAAATTTGTTGACAAGGTTCAATGTTCGGTAAATTTGTTAACAAGGTTAAATTTAACAAGGTTCAAAGCAGTGTTCTTAATCGGCTGGGGTTTTTTTAACTTGAAAGCTGGTACGTGAATTAAATATGGAAAATTTTCAAAAGGTGTACCTATTTGTCGTTATTGTTGTGGTAATCACATACATTACTATATGACATTCTCCATAACAAATTACCAAGAATTTTTTTTGTGGAAGTCTCATTATTTTAAAGGTAATGGAAGCTTATAATTAACCCATTTCCTACCGGGACCTCATTTGGGACCTCATTTGACCCAATTCTGGCCGGTTCGTTTCAAAATGGATTAAGAACCCTGGTTCAATTTTCTACTGGATTATTTTGTAGATTAAAAGAAAATTTTAAATTGTATCCGGAGCAGTTATCACCAACACTGACCAATTACGAAATACCAAATCTAGAAGCAGGGAAGGAATATGTTTTTTCTATGGCAGGTGAAAATGAGGCTGGTGTTGGAACAATGAGCAGTCCTCTGTCTGCATTTACTTTTGATTCAGGTAATGTTTTCGATTGAATATTTGTGACGCGACGGAAATCACTTTTTTTTAAAAGTGACTTTGGTGAGTTATAATGAACCCTATTTAAATTCTCATCTGTGCAGAGTTATCATCCATTGGTTAGCCGACTGGTTAGCATGTGCGCGCTGTATCATAAAGCCTGTCATTGAGTCAACTGGCGTGGTTTTGAATCCCCGGAGTACGGTGGCCTGTCCAACCTCACGGGTTTTTCTCTGGGTCCTCCGGTTTTCTACCACTGTTAAAGACCCCTACGCACAAGCGAATTATTGAAATAAAATTAAACTATATGTTAGTTCCAAAATGACCTAGTTTGTGTCGAGTGGACGTTAAACCCCATTTTTCTCTCTCTCTCCCTCTCTCTCCCTCTCCTCTCCCTCTCTCTTCCATTGGTGCAATAGATTTTTTGGGTGTACCAGTAGTCGTTTCTAGTGCAGGGGGCATACAAAAATAGTTAAATAAAGATATTTTGAAGTAAAGAAATAGAAAAAAAACTACACATCCATTTTTGTCTACATTCAGGACCAAGTGAACCAAGAGCTTTCCGTGTTGTAAAAATAGAACCTAGAACTTTAACAGTATCGTGGGAAATACCAGAAATAAAAAATGGTGACATCAGAAAATATGAATTACAATATAGACAGAAAGATTCCATTACACAAGGTATATTGATAAAAAAAACATAATCATTGCTGTAAACCATATTTTATTGTGAATTTATTGTGAATTGAATGAGTGTCAGCCAAAATTAATGTTTTAGCTCTCTGGTCTACATTCTGAAATCAAAAAGGCATTCAAGCTTTGAAGATCTTCACCAATTGGTAACACTAGAATCTTCTGTGTTGTGGTAAGATTTGACCATACAACCACATTGTGATTCATGATATTGTCAATATATTGTGATTCATGAAGTCAATATATTATGATTCACAAAGTCAATATATTATGATATATTCAGTTCATGGTGCATATTTATGAAATGAGCTTCATCGACAGATGCGCACGCCACTTCTATTTTCCAGTTTTAAGTCAACACTTAAAGACACATTTGCTTACCAAATATAAGAACAAATAGTTGAACTCACTGTAAAGAGCTTAGAAATGACCAGCGGACATAATTTAGCGTTATATAAGACAATTTATTATTCTTATTATTATTAGTCTGTATGATGTACATGATTCACACATCATTATTCTGTGATATAAAATTTAAAGATGTAGAACTTGAATATGTATATTCAACTATAACTTAATGTGTGTTATTTTTTTCATTTTAGAAATGAAGTCTGTGAATGTATTTAGTCCTAGTATTCCTACCCAGATGTTACATATAGACGATTTACTACCTAATACGATATATCAAGTACAGGTTCGAGCAGCTAATATACAAGATGGTCAGGATATCTGGGGTACTTTCAGTACAATGTTAGATATCAAAACACAAATTGCTGGTATGTTTATTTACAAAAAAACAAAAAAAAACAAAAAAAAAAACACAACACAGTTTATATGGAAATACAATCTCTGGTTTATTATAGGCATAGCACGACGTTTCGACAAGTATTCTCTTATCGTTATCAAGCACAAATGATAATTATAAACCAGTGATTGTATTTCCATATAAATTGTGTTGTGTTTTTTAATGTGTTCAATCACTAAATGAAACTCAAGGATTATGTTTATTTACCTTTATATAAAATAAAGAGTAGAATTGTGTTAATTATTTTAATGGTTTCTTCTGGTTATTAACTAGTTTGATGTAAGCCAAAATATTTATAAATAGGCTGACAAGATGGATATTTGTCATCAACTTGAAAACGTGACCTGTATGTGTTACGAAACGTCATTATTAAATAATAGAGAACTAGTTATATCTATATATACCTTATGTTGTGTTTTGTTATGAATTGATCTAATGTGTTAATTCAATTAGCAGTGGGATAGGCTCATTATATGATTAAATTTTTCAAAGATAAAGCGAAAGTCAGCTTGTTTATTATTTTTATTTTCTGTCTTGAAATATTTTCTGTAAACCAGAATTTTATTATTTGTATTGTTTGAATACATGGATATGACCATTGAGTGAAAAATATATTCAAGTTAAATATCCTTTCATCAACATCCTATTAAAACACAATTTGTATGATATAACAATTACTGAGTTTATTCCACACTACGTTTCTACAAGTTCCTCTTGTCGTTCTCAAGTAAATAATGTTTTCCATATAAATTCTGCTTTAATATTATATATTCTATTACTCAATGCTGTATAATATAAGGATTTCATCATCAACATCAATTTTGTCTTTTCCAAAATTCTTCCGGGGGGTTGGATGGCTGAATGGTTAGCGTGCCCGCGCTGTATCATAAAGTCTGTCATTGAGTCGACTGGCGTGGTTTCGAATCCCCGGTTGTACGTGGCAAGGAGTAGGGTCACCTGTCCAACCTCGTGGGTTTTCTCCGGGTCCTCCGGTTTCCTCCCACTGCTAAAGACCCCTACGCGCAAGCGAATTATTGAAATAAAATTGAACCATGTGTTGGTCCCGAAATGACCTAGTTTGTGTCGAGTGGACGTTAAACCCCATTTCTCTCTCTCTCTCCAAAATTCTTCCGAAAATATTTTCAGATTTGGCTTGTTCTGTTTTATTTTAGTTCCAGTGTCAAGTCCGAGTGAAGTAAAGACTGTAGTTTTAACATCGACAACAGTATCATTACAATGGAAGGTAATAAATAGAGAATATCCTACTCGTCTTTTTTGATATCAAAAAAATAATCAACACAAGTCGATTAATTAAAAAAAACAAGACTTTGCCAATTTTTGTTTTTTTACTTTTACTTGATATTTTTTGATATAAAAAAAAGATGAGTAGATTTTATTTATCACCCAATCTTTCTTACATGCACAAATAAATAAATATAATTCTTTGCTATAGATCTTACTTTTATTGAACCTCATTACATTACGGCGTAGTGATACATCATTTTTATTGACCCAGTGTTTCCATCAAGGTCAATTAAATAAAAATAATTCCTTTTTTAATAAAAAAAGAAGTTACTTTTAATAAAAAATGAATTCTTCATTGAAAATAGAAAAAAGGTAATGGATGTTAAAACCCATTTCTTTCTATCTCTGTGTGGGGTTTCTCCAAGTAAACTAGTTTCATTATTAAAGAATTATTGAAATGAAATGCACCATATATTAGTTCTAAAATGACCTAGTTAGTGTTCAGTGGAAATTAAACCCCATTTCTATCCTTCTCTCTTTAGGGGGGTTGGGTGGCTGAATGGTTAGCACGTGCGCCCTGTACCATAAAGTCTGTCATTGAGTCAACTGGCGTGGTTTCGATTCCCCGGTTGTACGTGACAAGGAGTAGGGTCGCCTGTCCAACCTCATGGGTTTTCTTCCCACTGCTAAAGACCCCTACGCACAAGCGAATTATTGAAATAAAATTAAACCATATGTTAGTCCCGAAATGACCTAGTTTGTGTCGAGTGGACGTTAAACCCCATTTCTACCCTTCTTTCTTTTATTAGAGTTCTGTTTATTAGATACTTTGTACCAGATTAGTGAAATATACAACTTTTATTTTGTTTTAGCATTTACCTGCGAATGAAACAAATGGACCAATCCTAGCCTACATTATATCGTACAACTCATCTAATGACCAATCAGAGAAGAGGGTACAAGGTGACACGGAATCTACAAACATTGATAGTCTATCCCCGTGGACTAAATACTCTTTCACAATAAAGGCTGAAAATGAAGCTGGAACCAGTCCAATAAGTTTGCCAGCCATAGCAACAACATATGCTGCAGGTATAAAAAGAAAAATACCCATATAAGAACATATTGAAATTTTGAATGGTGCATCAATTTTATTTTTTAGTACCTTGAGATTATTTATACAGAAGCAGAGAGAAATGGAGTATAATTTGTATGCTTTTAGTTTATTGTTTAGTTTTTTACGCTTGCTCTTTACCATACTGGCAGTTCAGAGACATGAACAAACATCCATGGTTGTGTGTTTAGTTTTCATACACCCATATTGAAATGTCGTATATTGTCGTCGGTCCGGTTATCGTTCTGGTGTTCACAATTGCTTGTGGACGCTCTAGCTGCTAAAGTTAATATCCGAATGACTTTAAATTTATACCCAGTGTTTAAGGGCATGAGATGAAGAAGTCTATTGATTTTCAATGATTTCTGATAATTACTGCCAGTTATGGCCCTTGATCTCGCTAAAAAATCTTGTGGACGCTTTAGAGGCTAAAGTTAATATCTGATTGACTTTATGTTTATACAGTGTTTAATAAAGTCATAAAAAGAAGAAGCCTATCAATTTTCAACCATTTCCGATGATTATAGCAATTGATGTTAAATGTTTTGTATACTAAATGTTAGAATAGGGCCGAACTAGAAGCCAAATTGGTTGTTACTGGTAATCAGATATTAGTGTGTTGTAAATGTTTTTATTTCTGACAAAAGAAAAAAATAAGCGACAACCCTTGTTGATTCCCCGAACGACTTAGCTTCTGTGGGCTTATGTTTTTTGCCTGGCAACCTATCTTTGTTCGTATTATGTGTAGTTATTTATTGACATTGTATGTTATGCAAATGTAATAATGCTGATGGGGGCAGCACATCGTGTTGGATATCATGCGCTTTATATTTATATTATTCTTATTATTATACTGTACTGTATTTCTAGTTCCATCTGCTCCACCAATGAATATAAAAGCTGAAGCTATATCATCAGATATGATACAAATCACATGGCAGGTCAGTAAATATCTTCATAATATCAATACTTTACAACATCTAGAACAATATCAAGAGTAATTATATATAACACTCAACAACATCTAGAACAATATCAAGGGTAATTATATATAACACCCAACAACACATAGAGAAATATCAAGGGTAATTATATATAACACTCAACAACATGTGGAACAATATCAAGGGTAATTATATATAACATTCAACAACATGTGGAACAATATCAAGGGTAAATACATATAACACTCAACAACACGTGGAACAATATCAAGGGTAATTATATGTAACACTCAACAACACCAAGTGGGTCTTGCATGGGAGAATATTGAACAGTTGGTTGATGAACCCCAATTTCTACCCCAATCAATGTCATTTGAATTAATGTAAGAAAGGTCAGTAGTTACTGTAAATATTGCGTTTTATTTCAGCCCCCTCCTGTATCAACATGGAATAGTCAGTTAAATGGACATAAAGTACAATATCGGGTAACAGGTACAATTGACTGGCAAGAAAAAGTACTGGATGATATTAATCAAAGATCAATAATATTAAGGTATGATCATCCAGCTTATAGATAGTGCAACAAGCCAGATCATTCACACATAGAATGGGCTGGCTTGTTCCAAAACAAAAAGATAGAACAAATACTATTACTGTCTCTATTTGGCAATCTCTATTGAAGCTGCTGTTGTATGTTTCTTTGCCCTGTAAGCTATCTTTTTTCTTTCTTTTTTTTTTTGTAACTAAATGGATTCAATATTTTAAAACGGTTATTTAAGCGGTATTATTGGAGATTTGATAAAGAGTTTTCACTATAATAGTTAAAGATGGGTTCCCGCGTACAAACTGGGTGATTTAATGGTATATATGGACCAAAAACATATTCAAACTAATCAATTTGTCATAATTATGCTTCAAATCCTTCTCAAACATTGTAATTGCGAAGGAATGCCCTGCTATTAAAATTTGATCAAACCAGGTCATGTTTACGTAAAGTCTTGGGAGTCAGAGGAGAATTCATTGCATACATAAGACGATGTTGTCTTTAATCGCTTATTATTTATTACAAATATCGAATCATAATTAAATTCTCGGATTATCCACAACCCGTGTCTTTTTCCGTCATTTTTATCTCAGAAAGTATTGTACGTCTAACTCTTCATAAAGTTTATCAACTTGTACATCAAGCACACAATGTTTGCTTGTGACCTTTGACATCACGCGTGCTGAAGTTCCTAATCGTCGGGCTGTTGATTAGGGGAACCCTTACATTTTTGTCCTGTATACGTTCCATGAATGTTTTTCGGGTAATCCAGTATTTTTCTAGTAAGATTGGATATCTCTACTTTCCATATATACCAAAATTGCCATACTTTTATTGGAAATAACCACCCGATAAATACTTTTCTGGGAACCAATCTTGAACTAGATAATGTTAACCAAGATTTTAGCAATTGAATTTTCGGCCTAGGCTCGATCATCATTACTAATTTCGGTACGATAAAAAAACATAGTCTTGATTATCCATTTTTGCATTTATCATCAGTGAGGAGCGTTGAGTAGCAGATCGGATTCAAATTCAATGAAAATCGGACATATAAGATGGCATCGAGAGTTGATTATGGTCTGGATAAGTTAATTAATGTCTAATTAATAATTTAGATAACATTTAAAACCTAAAGAAAGACTTGCAATAGGCAGATTTAGATCTTGTATAATGTATGTTTAAAGTATATTTTGTGTATATTTGACAGTAATTTATTTATTTGGAAAGAGTATGATATAAGATTAGCTGTTTATACTCTACAAGTGGTTCCAGGAGTTGGACCATATTCTACAATAATAACAACCAAAACATTACAAGCTGGTAAATGTTTTAATATTAATACGTTTTTACAAACCGATTTTGCAGTGTTATTAAAAGGATCTCTTGGTAGATGAAATTCTTCAAATTTTAAAGTTAATTTCCTTCGAGTTCATGTGGGCTAATTAGGTCATCTATCCAATCCACAAAGCTTATTTTGTTTATCTTTAGCCATTACTATATGTTTCTTCCAAAATGACCATTTTATTGTGTTTAATTTTATTTAAATTACTTTCCTTTCTTAAGAATTTAGATTTTATTTATCACAGAAATATTTACTGCTCAAGTTTTGATTGTTTGCAAGGATAATGAACGGCCATTTAATTGGACCCATATTTTAGTCAATTAGTTATTGTATGTAATATATTTGTCTTCGTTTCAGCTTCTGGGCCAATAGGAAATATATCCTACATAGCAACCAATAACAGTATTTTGTTGTCATGGCAACCACCAGAAGAATTAAATGGTGTTGTATTGTATTATGTATTAAAATATCATTCCAGAAATAGTTCAGGTAAACATTCCATCAGACATTTCATAAAGCCGTGTTTACACGATACAACCAATCCATACAACCGTCGGATACAACAGTTGCATCCGACCAAATCATCAGACAAATGGTCGAATGGACAGCTTGTTGTATGGATAGGATCAGTTCTATTCTCATTGGATCAACTCATGCAATAGCCAATCAAATTGCATTATATTATAGACAACGTCGTATGGTGTATGACGTCATATCTGATTTGGCAACCTGAATTCTTGATTAAAGATGTTTTGATTCTAAACCTATCTGCGACTGAATTAAAATATCTAATAACTCTGTATGTGAATCATGGACTTTGTGGAACCCGCGGCATGAAAACTATACGAAGACAGGGGTGAGAAGTGTCGCCTTACTGCCATTTTATCCATTTACTACTAAGGAACAAAATGTTGCCATACAACGAATAGAACCATTGTATTGTGTAAACAGTCGTCCAATATGTTGCATTTGACGGTTGTATGGATTGGTTGTATTGTGTAAACGTGACTTAAATGTACATGTTTAGTAAACAAATAAAAATTGCATTCGGGAGGTTTCTCTAAATTCTTACTTAACTTCAAATTCCTCATTTATATTAAGTACAGTGTTTATATTACCGCATTTTTGTGCAATAAATGTGGGGAGTCGTTGTATAAGATTCATTTGGTGCAATAAATGTGGGTAGTCGTTATATATGATTTATTTGTGTTACATGCTTGATAACGACTTGTGAAATGTTGCAGTGATAAACCATAGTAATCCATAAATATCCATATCCATAAATAATGTGTTATTTGATTCGTTATATATGATGCCAACCCAAAAAATTCTTGAAATCCCATAACAGTATATTGTTTATATGTGCACATAACTTCATAAAAAAAAACAAATAAAAGTCTGGATACTTATGTTTTAGGGCAGGATGTTATTATTATTATTATTATTATTACAGAATTAAATGAAACAAGTATTAAAGTATATGAAAGTAATAAAACAGTTTATAATCTGGAATCAAATACAGTATATGATATATCTATTGGTACGGTTAATAAAGCTGGTCCAGGACCATCCGTCTCAACTATCATCACTACTTGTAAGTATTACTATATATCTGCTATTTATTTATTTATTTATTTATTCTTCAAGTAGGGGGCCATGTTGGCTAAGTGGGTAAGACGCTGGCTTGCTAGCCTGGAGGTCGGATGTTCGATCCCTACATTGGCCGAGAAAGTTCATCCATATTTTTCAGAGTGCTTCCCCCTTGTCAGTGATGCAGGAGAAGAACAGCTGTCTAGTCGTTCTGATGGTGCGAAAAAAACGAGGTCCCATGTACGCATTGGCGTGCACATAAAAGATCCCTTGACAGTTGGAATTCAATAAAAGAGTAGGCCTTAGTGCCGCTGTCCGTGCAAAATTTCCCTTATAGCACACTGTATGGCGTATGCCCGTCTTCAATAGCCCAGTTCGGAGCAGAACAGTAGGACGTTAAACCCCATTACATTTCATTTACTTATATTTCAAGTAAAGATTACAACATGACAACAGACAACATAGATCTGTATATGAAATAAGAACTATGTGCTGTTTTGTATGATTGGGATGTGAAATAAAACGAGAATATAGAGGAATGGTGTCATGAAGAGATCTTTACTTAGGATAGCCCATAAAGCCTGATGTAAATTTGGGACTAAAGATGAACTAAAATGACATGTTAGTCCTAAAAAAATCTTTGTGTGCTTGTCTTGAGTTGACATTAAACCTTCCTTACATTTGTTTCAGTACCCAATAATCAAATAAATACTGATTATGATAATATAGCAACAGATTCAACGTCAGATACACCATCACCAGTAGATGGCAGCACCATAGGGTTCGTTCAAGATTCTGGCAACGATAATCAACCAACGAAAAACATACCAGTTATCGTTGGTGGCAGTTTAACGGCCGGGTTATTTGTCTTGTTTATTATAATACTTATAATTTATAAATGTGTCAAGAAACGAAGATCTGATCGAGATAATTACGGTGAGTTTATTTAATTTACATTTTATTATTGATCAAATACTGTAAAACAAGAAATTAATGCTAGCAAGAAATGTGATCACTTGCTCGTCAAATTATTCTCAGTGAGTATTAAGCAATGGTTAACCCTGCCGTTCGTGGAAGGGGTAGTTTCTAGCCATCACTCTGTACAGGCTAAGTTAGGGGTCTCCGTCATTGACTGGATTTGATTGTCTTCCTTCTGTGATTTGAAATTGAATGTAACATGCATAATACGTCGATTTTTTGTTATTGTGAAAAGAATATTCAATTTTACAAGTGCTTGTGGAATTAATTATTGATTATTTGGGTCACATTCGAAATTGAATGATGCAGCCTAAATTTCTTGTTTTAAAGTATTTGAAAAGACACCATGTTGAGTTTACATGTACATGTATGCCCGAATCAATTTTCATTATGCTTTCATGAAAGTCATTATAAATAAATTATATTATCTTTTTTTTTTTAAATGGCTTTAAGTAATTGTGATTTAACGCAGCTGTAATTAGTTCCAGGTATATGTTTTATGTTAATTAACAAGATTCTCCAAATATTATGCACATAAATTATATTTTTATTTGATTAATTCTAAGTTGATTTAAAACAGTGGTTCTCAACCTTTTTTCCCAACGGCACACCTTGGAACACATGAGTAAATAGTGGCACACCTGGCTAAATATATATGAAAAATATTTTAATTTTGCGAAATAAAAATATGGCAAGTCAGACGGCATACGAACCATAGACTGAGACCAGTCATAGACACATAGAATGACTCGAACTAAATAAGGAAAAACACAGTTATGAACTTATCAGTAGACACCAGTGAATACTCAGTTGGGATCACATGTTTTTTTGCATTTTCTTAGTGTGCCATTCAAAATTTCGCGGCACACCTATGATGATGTTGAGGCACAACTAGAATGATGTCGAGGCACAGTGGTTGAGAATCACTGATTTAAAGGAACTAACACACTCTGATTTAGATCAGATGGAAGGGTTTTATTTAGGTTGGTCATGTGATCCGCTCTTTCAATTAAATATTCTTTTTTAAACAATTAGAGAAAGTCGATTTTTGTACTGTTTTTAGTCTCATTTTTGGCTTAAAATGTTAAAACTTGAAAACACGATCAGTTATTTCTCACCATATAAACTTTGTAAAATTATTTGATTTTTGACCAAAGTAAAAGAATGACTTTCTTTTTAGACTTTACCATGAACCATATAAGATGGAGAGGAGTCAACATAGGCCTAGCCTGTTCTCCAATCCATTTTCAAATTAAATAAAATGTTGACCTAAAAAAAATATAAGATTAATTATTATCTGTTATATATTGTGCATATTGTTTGGAACATTGTCTCTTGTCCGATTTTGATTTTTGAATAAAGTTGTTTTAAATAGTCTTATTTTGAAATGTTTCTATATTATCACTGTCAGCCTACAGGGCATATTTTAATAGTGGATTTACCCAAGCGGTAGGTATATATAGTCTAGTAGACCTAGAAAATGGTTTTTTTTAGGATTATTTTTGCTTCACTGTTATTTTTCTGGAATGTTTTATCATATACAAGGTATTGAGTGATACTTGAGAAACAGAACTTCTGAATAATATTATTTTATTTTATGATCAGTAGTGGAATACCGCGTTTTATCAGTGAAATAAACGTGTTATTCCACTGGCTAGTTGTTTTTACCTAAAATGATTTGTAAAATCATAAAATAAATAGAACATTTGTCGTTTTGTCGTGAATAACATATTTTATTTCATCTCTAAGCAAGAAAACGTTTATATTTTCACGAATGCTACGCATTCTTGAAAATATAAGTTTTCTTGCTTCTTGATGAAATAAAATATGTTATTCACTCTAAAACGACAAATATCCTCTATATAATGAAATAACAAGGCTTGCTCAGGCTTTCTAGAACAAATGATGCCACTTTCTGATACAATTTATTATAATATGAAATGGTCACACAGCTGGCAGTTTTTATTATATAGATTAAATACAATTTGTGGTCATATCTCTAACAAGAATAATGCACTCACTGATAACATCAGCGTTTTAGTTACCAGTGCTATTAATATAATAAGCATATCATGCCTCGCGTCAGATATGTTATTACTCACATGTTAGACTATAAATAATTTGAGTACTGGTTAAGATCTTGAATGTAGAAACCAGAACATTTGACAGAAATAGTTTTAAGCTACATGTATGAATGTTTCTCAAGCATCACAAAATGATATCCATTTCTTTATTTTAGCGAGTTTTACTCCGCATTATTTTATTTATTTATAGTTAATAATAGTCAGTATATTATTTTCAAGCCTAAATGTCTTTAGTTTTTTAGAGTTTTTCGTTAGACTTTTTTTCATCAACCCAGATCACAAACATATGACCGTTACATTAAAACATGTTAACACTATCGATACAAACAGACCCGTAGCTAGCAAGGGGGGCAGCCCCCTTAGGTTCGAACCGTGCCCTTTCCACAGGACATAATATGAAGCCAACGACCAACATGCCCATATCAGTGTGGGCTCCCCATAAAACCGATTGACATTGGTTGGGCTGCCCTGCTTGCGCCCCTCCCCCCACTACCTACCCAAACCTATACCACTCAAATAGACAATTACTCTATTAGTACTAATAAATGTAAAAGATCCCAGGCAAAATTTCCCTCATAGCACACTGTATGGCGTATGCCTATCTTCATTAGCCCAGTTCGATCAGAACAGTAGGACGTTAAACCCCATTTCATTTCATTTCATTTAAAGACTGTTGTATCCCTTCTTTTTGGGTGTATAAATGATACATGTTTATAAAACACCATAATAAAATGTTATGGTAATAAAATGTTTGTAACCAAATGACCTATTTGGTATATTTGAAATGGCAATAATTGTGACATGAATACTACTTTTTAGCACCCCCTCCCTTTTCCTCCTGGCATTCTTATTCCACCGACTCTTAACCCTGGAATCTGTGTCTTTGGTTACTGGGAAATGTATTTAAATCTTGATAAACTATTAATTAAAGTATATATATATATACATATACAAATAATATCAACGTGTTTTTCTTCAGTAAGAAAAGATCTTTTCCATTATATGATCAATGCAGAGCGATACGTTGTGAAAAAACAGACAAACTGATTAAATTATATTCAAATGATTTTCAGACAATATTTCATTTGTACTTGTAATAAATATATTTAGTAATATTATTGATATCAGATAATGTATATAGAAATAAATATACAGGAAAGCCTTGATCATATATTTGAAAAGAGCTCTTTAAATATAGAATTTAGCTTAGAAATAATATATTCATCAGAGTTTTGAGTAATTAACCAGTATACTATATTTTAACCATTTTATCTTGCAGTGATACCATTTGCATATAAATCAAAAAGATTTTCATCAATTACTGAAAGGTAGGAAGATGTACAGTTTTATTATTTAAATTCTCAGCTCAGAATGAAGTAATTTAACTGAAATTTTCAACATGTTCCCTTTTCATTATCTAGCTTTTAACTATTATAGCGAAATCTATCGGCCCTTTATCTAGATCTTACATAATGTATCTTTTAATATTACTTTATTTATCCAAGACATGTAAAGATGGAGGTCAATTTGAATTATTTTATGAAAAGGGTGTTTTTAATATATATTTATTTGATGGTGGATATATTTAGCCTCTATTTTTAACTTTTATTGATGTATCTTGGTGCTTTAAACTTACACCATTTGCTTAAAGGGCTCTTGAAATTGAATATATTTGGTAATTGTTTGTCCCCTTATAATTCTTCTTCTTTACATTCCAAATGTCACCATTGTAGAAACAATCATATGTTAGTCTCAAAATGATATAGGTAGATGTTAACATAATTAAGTTTCCAGGAGAGCAACATTTTTTATCTGACCGTAGATTAAACATATCAAACATAATTGCTAAATATATCTTGTTAGAACCAATTTACCTCAGATTAAGTCTCATGAGTGAGTAATCATGGACCAGAATTTTCCTTATTATTACAATATTTATTTCAAGAGATGAGAATGGTTCCAATAGCACAGTCAACACACAACAGACGGATATACCTACAACCAATAATAGTCAATCACAGTATTCTAAATATGGTAGTGTAGTACCTGAAGACAATATCACACAGACCACCCAATACGATAGTCAGGTAATATCTATATGTGTTTCATATATATGTCATATGAGCAGCTTCTGACTCTATGATGTCAGACATTGATTAATCAATCAGCGTTGTTGCGGGGATCACGTGGCTAAGTAGGTAAGGCGCTGGCTCGCTAGCCTGGAGGTCGGGTGTTCGATCCCTGCATTGGCCGAGAAAGTTCATCTCGATTTTCCGGCGTGGTTTCCCCTTGTCAGTGATGCAGAACAGAGAGCCTGACAAGGACAGCTGCCTAGTCGTTCGGATGGGACGAAAAACCGAGAACCCGTGTACACTTTGGCGTGCACGTAAAAGATCCCTTGGCAGTTGGAATTCGATATAAGAGTAGGCCGTAGCGCCGCTGCCCGGGCAAATTTTCCCTCATAGCACACTGTATGGCGTATGCCCGTCTTCAATTAGCCCAGGTTAGGTGCAGAAGCGTAGGACGTTAAACTCCATTTCATTTCATTTCATTTCATCAATCAGCGTTTACATTTGTAAGGGTTTACCCACAGTTCCGTGCACAGCATGTTTCATTGGTTAATTCCTCACATCAGCTAGAATGCCTGTTACATAACAATTCTTCCAGATCCTATATAGTGTTCTAAAAACAAGTAAAAGGAAATTTTGAACTTTAAAAAACGAAACGAAATAGGATCTGTGTTTTAATCAGATTGTGAAAGGCGCTGCCACCAAGCCCCATCCAGAATTTGGGAGGTTGGATGGGCAGGATGGCTCAATGGTTAGCACGTGTGCGCTGTATCATAAAGTCTGTCATTGAGTCAACTGGCGGGGTTTCGATTCCCCGGTTGTACGTGACAAGGAGTAGGGTCGCCTGTCCAACCTCGTGGGTTTTCTCCGGGTCCTCTGGTTTCCTCCCACTGCTAAAGACCCCTACGCGCAAGCGAATTATTGAAATAAAACTGAACCATATGTTAGTCCCGAAATGACCTAGTTTGTGTCGAGTGGACGTTAAATCCCATCTCTCTCTCTCCCATCCAAAATTTAAAAATCGTGATTAATTTGAAACTAGATGTATATTAAATAAGTCTTTTATGATTATTTTTATAGGTACCAGATTTAGTTGTAACACCTCCATTTTCTTCCACCAGTAAATCAAACAATCTTTCAAAAAGACCAGAAAGTTTCCATGGAGATTCTATAGCAGGTAGTAACTTTCAATGTTAGAATTACAGGGGCTTATTTTAATGTGCCTACATGCACAGATGTGCCTCTGGATATGAAATCTGTGCTTTGAAAATCTGAAATCCGTGTTTTGAAAAAATGTTATGTAGCCTTGTCAATCTGAGTACATTGTATGGGGAAACTGAGCTATCATTATGATCAGCGACCACTTTTGATTTCTGTTTCAAAAGTTTTGTTGACGTATTCCCACCACCACCTAAAGCACGAGAATGACATGGCGGAACATCGTCAGGTGCAGATGACAGTGAAGGTTCGTTTGACTTTGGACTGTTAATAATACTGACACGCGGTTATATAAATATAAATATGTTCATTCTGTTATATTTTGGTTATAAAAGTGTAAACGTGATATCGTGTTATAGAAGTAAAATTCTGGACATTTCCACGGAACCCCAAAACACCAGAAACCATGCTTCGCCAATAATTAGAAATATGCTCACAAACCCAGTTCATTGAAATTGGCATCTGTTCTTAATTTCGATCCAGCGGGGTTTGATGGCCAAATGGTTAGTGCATGCACGTTGTATCATAAGGTCTGTCGGTTTCCTCCCACTGCTAAAGAACCCTATGCGCAAGTGAATTATTAGAATAAAATTGAACCTTATGTTAGTCCCGAAATGACCTAGTTTGTGTCGAGTGGATGTTAAACCCCATTTCTATCATCTCTCTCTCTTTTCAAAATCTACATATAAATGTTTGGTATCTTCCGATACATTTCATACACAACTACATAATATCAGAATTTATAAAAGGAAGGGAAGCACCTGAAACTACAGGGACTTGACCCTTGTTAATAGTAGCGTTGTATCATAAGGCCTGTCATTGAGTCGACTGGCGTGGTTTCGAATCCCCGGTTGTACGTGACAAGGAGTAGGGTCGCCTGTCCAACCTCGTGGGTTTTCTCCGGGTCCTCCGGTTTCCTCCCACTGCTAAAGACTGCTATGCGCAAAAAAATTATTGAAATAAAATTAAAACCATATGTTAGTCCCGAAATGACCTAGTTTGTGTCGAGTGGACGTTAAACCCCATTTCTCTCTCTCTCTCTCTCTCTCTCTCTCTCTCTCTCTCTTTAATTTTGATCCAACATAAAGTTGGTAATTTGATTGTGCTTATATGTTGATATGTGTGATGACAGACGTGTCTTCATTCAAAAAAAACTCTCAGCGTATATAACTTATGTGTGCTTGCTGTTAACAGCCAGTGCTTTAAACAATGAAACTAAATATAATACACAATTCTACTTCCTCATTTATTCAAACAATATTTGTTTTGTAGGGTTAGACAATCCAAATTATTTTGAAGATGAAGTTTTTTCAGCCACTTTACCCAGACCCCATTCAACATCAACAATGACGTCAGATGAATTATATTCACAGGTAACATATTTATAACTTAATAGAAATGAAATGAAATAGGATTTAACGTCCTACTGTTCTGCCCCGAACTGGACTAATGAAGACGGGCATACGTCATACAGTGTGCCATGAGGGAAATTTTGCCCGGGCAGCGGCGCTATGGCCTACTCCTATATTGAATTCCAACTGGTAAGGGATCTTTTACATGCTCGCCAATATGTACACAGGGCCTCGGTTTTTCATCCCCTCCGTCCTGTACCTCTGACAGGGGAAACCACGCCGAAAAATCCTGATAAACTTTCTCAGCCAACACTGGGATGGAACCCGCGACCTCCAGGTTAGCAAGCCAGCGCCTTACTCTCTTAGCCACAGTTGCTCCCTAAATTAATAGAAGCAGTCACTTAATTTGCTGAGTTTGTAGAGATTTGAATTGTCGTTAAAGAATGGACAACTTCAGCCATTGCCATTTTTATTATTTTACTTACTATTTAATATACAAATTTATAAACTGGCTAAGACGTAATGAGGGGAACAGTCAATCATTCCATTCTTTCATCCAACAATTTTTTTTTATTGTGTATCCATCTAGAACAACCTACAGAGGGTATCAATTGTAGTATGTACAGCAGGGTTGTTTATAAACAGTGACTGACAGTTCTCTATATAATATCACAGTATATTCATGAGACAAATTTAGCAGTCGATTGATTTACAGGATTTCTGATAATTACTGTCTTGTCTTGGTCTCTCTAGCAACTATAGTTATCATATGAATAACTTAAAATTTATGTATTGTTTACACAAATACTAGCAAAAAGCCTATCAAATTGAAGTGATTTTTTGATAACTTTTTGAGGGGTTGTTTTGTAGCTCTTAAAGATACATTCCCAGGTACAAACTGGGTGATTTAATGGTATATTTGGACTAAAAATATATTCAAACTAATTAATTTATCATAATTTTGCTTCAAATCCTTCTCAAAACATACTAGCTATAAAAAATCGATCAAAAGAGGTCATGTTTGTGTCAAGTGACTTACCTCTCTCGGTACTTAGCAACGCAAGCGAAGTCGGAGGAGAATTCATTGCATACATAAGATGATGTTGTCTTTAATCGCTGACTATTTATTACAAATATCGAAGCCTAATTAAATTTTCGGATAATCCACTGCCCACGTTTTCCGTGATTTTTATCTAATTCTTCATAAAGTTTATCAAAATGTACATCAAGCGCTCAATCTCTGCATGCAACCTTCGACGTCACACGTGCAGACACTGCTAATCGTCGGGCTGTCAATTAGGGAAAACCTTTACATTTTTGTCCTGTATGCGCTCCATGAGTGTTTTTCAGTGAATCCAGTATTTGTCTAGTAAGATTGGATATTTCTACTTTCCATATATACCAAAATTGCCATACTTTTATCACAATGTGCCAATCCTTATGGACTACTGGGGTGACATAGATGCTGGGGGGGGGGGGGCGTATGTTTTGTTTGCCTGCAGTGTATGTCCTTGTATTTTCAGATGGGTAAAAAATTAAAGAAGAACAGAATGAAGAGTGGGAGTGCCGCTGCTATTGCTGTCATGAGGAACAGTACGTTAAGTATCTCGGCTAACGATACAGATTCATTGGTTCATAATGATTCGATAGTCATCTACAACGAAAGAACTATGTTATGATACAGTTAACCTTGGGAATATTTGGAGGTTTTGAAACCATTATAGAATTTTCTTTTTAAACCCTGATTTTAAAAAGATTTTTTTAAATCTTAAGGAAAATCTTTATTTTTAACGCAAGTTTATTTCTGTTGGACTGTTGTACTTAATGGATAATTTAAGATTGCTATTATGAAGAATTAGAGCAATAGGTTTCATTAAAGAGCTGTATGATTCTTTATTACATCACAGCTGGCGCCATCTTAGGCTTGGTAGAGTTAGCTACCCTTGGTAATAGTCTGACTATCCCATTAAAGACACAATGCCTTATAAGGAGTAGTGTCAAAGGTAGTCTTCCTGACCATACAGGATCTATACAAAGGCATTGCTCCTGGTAGAAGTATTGTACTACCAGTCTAAAGCCAATCAATTTATGTTAAACTTCAATATATTACCAAGGGTAGTTAACCTATAGCAGTATTGATTAATTCTAATATATCAAAATAATTTGTTCAAAGGAAATTAATCGAGCTTTAAATATAAAGTGTCTCTTGTGTGTTGACTTTGTATTGGAACAACAGCATTATTTTTAATATCAATATCATCATCATCATCATCATCATCATTCATCATCCATCAATCAATCAAACCTAATTAAAGCATTCCATTATTTTATATTGCGTTTTAATCATATATGGCCCCGAATTCACAAAGCATTCTCAGACTTAAGTTAAAAATTTACTCAAAATTGTTTACCTTATTTTAACTCAAATATAGCCCTTTATAAAACTTTTGTTGTTTTAATGCATCAAATACATTAATAAGAAACTATGTGCAAAGTTTTGTGTTTCTGGATCAAAGATATTTCTCATAAAGAGTGATTGAAAGTTGAGTAAATACTTTAGTCGGAGAATGCTTTGTGAACTCGGGGCCCCGTACATATTATTATAATACTTATTAATTTGTCATTAATATTTTATTGATTTTATATTTTGTAAATATTATAAATGAATTTAACATATGATTGTAAATTATATATGCATATACTAAATCATGTTTTGTGCCACAAATGTCTGAATTTAAACCTTCACTATTAGGTCATATAATCTTTAAATGGCATTTAGTAACTGGATAGAAAAACAACAAAAACACATACTTATGGAAAACAACTACTAGTGTATTTTAAGGCGAATATTCTCTCATCGTTATAAAGCTAATACAGATATGAGGCAAATATATAAAGACAAATATAATGGCATTTAATAACTGGATAGAGAAACAACAAAACACATACTTATTGAAAACGGCTAATAGTGTTGAACAACAGCTACTAGTGTATTTAAGGCGATGTTTCGTAGAGTATTCTCTGAAAGTTATCAAGCTAATACAGTAATGCAGATATGAGGCAAATATATAGAGACAAAATACAACAACATAAGCGAAACCATAATTATATTAATGAATGTCTTTAAAGATGTTATATCCTTGATAGTCACCAAAACCATCTATCAGAAAACATCTCCAAACTACTAGAAAAAATGTCTTTGTTACCATACCAAAAACATATCTTTAGGGATATTTCAATCTGATTAAAACACAGATCCTATTTCGTTTCGTTTTTTATAGTTCAAATTTTTCGTTTTACTTGTCTTTACTACACAAGGATCTGGAAGAGTTGTTATATAACCCGTCTTCTGGATGATGTGAGGGATTAGCCAATGAAACGGTCTGTTACAGCAAGTTTTTGGCCTCTCTCCCAAAGCCGATAAGAATCTTTAATTTACTTTTTTTACTGTTTTGACTTTATTATTATCAGGCCTGGAACTAACGATTTTAGATGTCAGACACGTTTATATTACTGTGTGTGTTATAACTAGTCAACACTTGTATTGAAAATGTAATTTATTTAAAACTTATAGTTTTACCCTCCCAAGATCATGGTAATATTGATTGTCGCCATCTTGTTACAGACTTGTCCCGTTATCTACAAGGCTGAACATAATATTATTATCTAACAAAGAATAGCCATAATAGGATAGTTTAATCACGTTGTTGCCCATCGGGATACTAACAAGTTATTTTTCAATTCACATGCTGTTTAATGTAGTAGGCTACCTTACATAGTCACGATCTGATTAAGATACAGATCTATATTTCGTTTCGTTTTCTTATACTTTTGAACTATAAAAAAGACCCCCCTTGTCAGTGATGCAGGACGGAGGGCCTGACAAGGACAGCTGTCTAGTCCTTCAGATGAGACGAAAAACCGAGGTCCTGTGTATACATTAGAATGCACGTAAAAGATCCCTTGGCAGTTGGAATTCGATATAAGAGTAGGCGATAGTGCCGCTGCCCAGGCAAAATTTCCCTCATAGCACACTGTATGGCGTATGCCCGTCTTCATTAGCCCAGCATAAGAGCAGAACAGTAGGACGTTAAACCCCATTTCATTTCATTTAAAAAAAACACGAAACGAAATAGGATCCATGTTTTAATCAGATTAACATAGTTGAGTGATAGATTGTCATTTGGCTTCATGTTTTTATGTAGTGTTAGCTTTCTACGTCCTTCAGTTTAGCTTTAAAAATATGATGTTTGAAAACACATAATTATAAACTATTTCTAAGTCAATTAATCGTGTTTGCTAAAATTACACACCAGATCATTCTTTACTAACCCAAACTAAAATTCGAGATTCACAGTTTTATAACAGAAACCAAATTGATTAGGTGATAACAAAATGAGAAATCGTGAGAAATCGAGTATTTGGCAAAATATTCATAATTAAATAATTATAGAGACAATTCTGTGAACATTTGTTTTGTTACCAATAATAATTTATGTTATAAACGTTTTAAAAAGCGATTTAAAGTGAGATTCTTCTAGGCATCTTTTTTCTTCAGACAACGATGCACGCCATTATCATATAATTTAACAGATTATTTAAGATGGCAGAATGGTGATATTTTATATCCTTTAAACTAAGATTAAACATACATTATGCAAGATCTAAATCTACCTATTGCAGGTCTTTCTTTAGGCCTGAAATGTTGTCTAAATTATTAATTTGACATTAACTTATCCAGACCATAATCAACTCTCAATGACATCGCTATCCTGCGATTTAACAGATTGGAATACATTTTTTGAAAAAAAAAATAAACGTAAAAGTGGATAATGGAGACTTTATTTTTTTTTCGTACCGACTTTAGTAATAATGATCGAGGCTAGACCTAAAATTCAAAAGCTAATATCTCGGTTCAGGGCGGTGCAATTTGACTAAAATTTTCAGCATATTCTATTTATGTTATCTATTTTTTAACTAATAAAGCGAGAACTTTCAACTCTTTTATCTAATCTCCCATAATGCCCCTTTAAATTAGCCAATAAGGTGCTGTAAATTTTGCTTTTGAAGATGCCAATTTGTCATGTCGGGGCGTATAGTGGAATAATATCAATAATTGTGATATATTTATTATATGCAATGTATAGTACTTGTTAAATTTTATTTATTTATTATTCGATATCTCACCATTCCAAAAATATTTGTATGTTTATGTGAAATGATCGTTTGATGTATATGGCGTCATTTTGACAAGAACTCGATTCATAATATCAGTTGTCCAATATCAACACTTTTCTTCAAAATCAAACATTAATTAAATAGCCAAATTTTATTGTTAAGAAGATATCCTGAGCATTGCCTTGTTTGTTGATCTTGTTAAATCAGAACTGTTGCTATGGCAACCCCTGCTTGACTTTTTATAAAAATTGTTGTTGATTGTACAAGAAGTAGAACTACACTAAATAAATGCACGAATTATAATTAACTGTTCTGATGTGCAAATGATCATTTATTATAAATGTCGTCTTTTTAATTAAAGGCAGCAATTAAGGGTAACCATGGTAATTTAATGCATGTGTCTTATATGAAGGAAGAAGAAAACATATTCCAACGTTACAACGAATACCCACATATTTTACTTCATCTAATTAAAATTATGTCAATATTTCTTCATTCCATTTCTTGTTAGGTTGTATTTCACCTACAGTTTGATTTGATACCAATCAGTAGCGGACCTATATTTTGGGGAACCTTCACAACTAGCAACAAGGTCTGGATATCCACTGTTATCCTCGTCAATGAGGTGGTTATATTAAAGGGAATGGAAGCTTAAAATTTTAAAACCAAGTTCGTACCTGGACCTCATTGGACCCAATTCTGGCCGGTTCGTTTCAAAATGGATTAAGAACCCTGGTGGTTACATACCAATAAAAAAAAAAATTAATACAAAAACCACACTCATCCGATTCAAAAAGAACTTAATTCCTGTAAGGCCTAACTCTCTCTAAAATATATTAAGAATGGGGAATCTTAAACTGTCATTTGACTCAGAAAGTGGGTTAAGCTTGCCTGTCGTTTTCAAACTTGTAAGCGAGAACCGTATCAAAATTCAGAGCTAATAACATTTTGATTAGTTAAACACAAAGTGTAGAGCCATAAACAGTTTATAAGTATGACCTTGGAGTAAACGGGAACAAAATCAGAAATAATGGCATAAAAAAAACCTAATAGATTCATTTCGATGTTGTTTCCTTTATAATAGGTCATATTTATAAACTATATAGAAATATTTAATAAGAGTTCTATAGTAGATATAATGTCTTTGGCAGCCAAATGTCACCCTGTATACCGTGTGCTTGTATCAGTAATGTGTTGTCATAATTTGTTTAATACTTTGCACTTATGCATTCCAGTTTTATTTATACACATTACTTAGGATGAATAAAACCATATTTTCAAATCCCTTTCTTGTGTTTTATTTTCTCAAACAGAATCCAGTGGATGTGATTGAGCAATGGTAAAAAAATAAACCATGTCATGGTGGTATGATTCGGTATTCTAATGATAGGTTGCTAGGCAACGAAACATACGCCAACATGGATCGATTCCATAAAGGATGTTCATCTATCCGTCGGTCCATCAACAATTGGCATGTGAATGCAATAGAAGCTACAGTTTTCAAATTTGGTGTGAAGCGTCGTTGTCATGAGATGACGAACCCAGTTGATTTTTACATTCCGCGACTTTTCGTTTCAGAGAAAACCTTGTGAATGCCATAGGGCTGTAATTCTTGAGGGAAACTTTTCAAATTTGGAGTGAAGCATTGTGGTCATAAGAGGCCAAACTCTGTCAATATTCAGCATTCTACGTCTTTCCCTTCCGGATTTACACACGCACACCCTTGCCGAAAACCTTGTGAACGTGACAGAGGCTAATTTTTTTTTCAAATTTGGTGCAAAACATTGTTTTTGCTGACCAGAATAAAGATTGGGACATATTATTCAGTTACAACAAGAGTGGTATTGGGCCTTTAATATGACAGAACAATTAAATTTGACAAAGGTTAGAGTTTCCTTAACTTTGTAAATTTAAAATATGATGAATGATTAAGTTGGATTCATGTGATAAATAAAGTGAATAAATCAATTAGCATGATTTGAAATCTGATAGTTATCTTGAGTGTATTTGTTTTGTTCTCTTGTTAAAGGCTCAATACCACTCTTGTTGTAACTAAATAATGTGTCCCAATCTTTATTATGGTCAACAAATTGTACTATTTTACAATATTCCAATTAATTGATGATAAAAATTTCATCTTAACACACCTAATTTAAAAAATTGGAAAAATTCAACTAAATGATTTGAAAAGCCTGATGTAAAACTTTTGAAATGTGACTTGGATTTAAAAATATTTTTGAACCCTTTGGACAAGTAAAATAGGATTTAATGGATAATTTACACAACAGGTAAGGACACTAACACATCTAGTACTTAGAATAAGGCTATTTTTTTATTTTCTGGAGTTGTCAAGCCAGCAAGAGTGTTATTGTCCCTTTAAGGAATAAACTGCGTCAAGTTTAAAATGGTGACATCATAATTGGGGATAATTTCATCAGTATTTCCGTATTATCCAACTTTAGAATACGTGTACATTTTGTCCAATGAAAATGCGCCTAGTAATAGTTTAGGCCAATGGGGAAAGAACACGAATTGCTAAAACGATGTGGATCTCTTTATAAACAACGTCCGAATGGATCAAAATCAGCATTTTCAAATTATAGAAGAGAGAGAAAAGATATTAGAAAACCGAAGGCAAATCAACCAAACATTTTTATTGAGAGCGAATATTCTACAAAGTGAACGATCATTCCATTTTGACAGGTTCGTATGAAATGCAGACGTCATATTGCTAGTCTTGATTATCTAAAAACATATTATAGTAGACTACAACACTACTGGATAGTCGAAAATGATTCCTCAATTCTGATTGGATGAAAGTTATGCAAAACGATTTTTGCCATATTTAGTACTGGTAAAGAGGCGTTTCGACTGGCTTAAAAACTGTATTTAACTATTTGAAACAAATATTTAAAGTAAGCTAATCTCGTCTTTATTATGTAATTGAACGTATTTTAATCCAAAATATTTCATAGAATAATGAGAAAATTTGTTATAACAGGAATTATACGATTTTTCGTTTCATATAAATAATGATAGAATTTTTACTATTGGTCATGTGTTTGTAAACAAACCCACGTGTTTAGAAACGGCATGACAAAACTGACAGCTATTTTATTCCTTCAGATACCTGAGCTTATTATATCTTTTTCAGTATCGTTTTAATTGATTTATTTCATTTTTTAGGCAAGGAAATTAGAAGATAATACTTATATTCTGGATACACTCTAGTGCAGTGAACAAGAACTGAGAAAAATTTGGATAAAATTAACTTATTTGAAGAAAATAGGAGTACTTGTTCATCCCTTAATTAGAAAAAAATAATGGATAGAGCCAAAAAGATGATGATGTTAATGATAGCTATCAGCTGTGTACTTGCAGTAACTTTAGCTGACAAGGCCAACAAACAGGATGAAGGTCCTGTAATTGGAATAGATCTTGGTACAACATATTCATGGTAGGTTATTTAATAATAATCTTTAAATTTAAGGGGCATTATGTAAACAAGTTTTCCTATCTTGGTCTATGTTATATTTAAAGTAGCTAAGTCTCTAACTCAAAATCATCCAAAGTCTTACACGTTCAAAATACGAATTATTTGTCAATTCAAATCAACATTGATGTTGTTATCTTACCGGGAAAAGGTAGGCTTCTGATATCCAATATTTAAGACAAAATAAACATTTTACCATTGGTACACGAATCGTGTACCATAGTGCGTTTCAGCATCATTTCTAACAAATGACCAGAAAGAACGAGGCTAGACATCCACAACGCATGTCAAACGGTGATGCTATATCTTATCTGGAGAGCATGCGCAATAGACTGGAATAACCAGACGCTAGAAATTGCCATTTGGTTGAGTCTCATGCCGTATTTCGCTGGTCATAACTGATTTCAAATTAAGAGTCAAAACGGAAACAATTGAATGTAAATCAGTTTATATACAATCAGATTACATTACATTATTATATGCATTGCGACTCATTTGGGTCAAATTCTAGGTCCAAAATATTAGTGATTTAGCTCCTTTAATAAAAAAACAAACAAACAAGAATCAAGAGTTACACGTTTATTCATATGCATCTTTTATTTGAATGCCCCCACCCCACCCCGCACACACACACACAAAAGAATATACTGTACATTTAGTTATTCAGCCTAAACAACTTCTATCATCTCTATAATAGTTAATTTATGATCACCATCAAGGTAATTTGTGGCATGTCTCTTATTGTTTGTTATTGATGTTTACATGTGATGGTGTCCTGTGTATAAAGATAAATATGTCTTATCGTTGTCCATTAATAAATTGTTGTTATTGATCTCTTATTTTCTATAGTGTTGGAATTTTCACTAAAGGGCAAGTAGAAATTATACCAAATGACCAGGGTAATCGAATTACTCCATCTTACGTAGCTTTCACAGATGAAGGAGAACGTCTTATTGGTGATGCTGCCAAAAATCAGCTGACCTCTAACCCTGAAAATACTGTCTTTGACGTTAAACGTTTGATTGGTCGAACCTGGGATGACCCATCTGTTCAGAAAGACAAAGAATATTATCCATTTAAAATTGTCAACAAAAATGGTAAACCACATATCCAAGTAACTGTCAAGGGTCAGAAGAGAATCTTTGCCCCTGAAGAAATTTCTGCTATGGTTTTAGGAAAGATGAAGGCAATCGCGGAGGATTATTTGGGTAAAAATGTAACCAGGGCTGTTGTCACAGTTCCCGCCTATTTTAACGATGCCCAACGTCAGGCTACCAAGGATGCCGGAAGAATAGCTGGACTAGATGTATTAAGAATTATTAACGAACCGTAAGTAAAATTATTGTATACATTAGTCCTAATGACCAAATATAAGACTTTGTAGAATATTATTTTGTAAATGCACGAGAGTAGATCTACAAGAATACATGTACATATACTTGCCTTATAGTTACTTTAGTAACGATGTCTGATAGAGGCTAGCTCTCTCACTGCAGGCCTGGAAATAACGGTTTCAGATGTACCTGACAAAATGTCAGGCACTAATGAAATAGTACCTAACATTTTCAACTTAGTGCCGGACATGTATTAATAATATCAATAAAAAAGACAAATCAGTGCTGGACAAAATGACAGGCACTAGAAGGTTTAGTGCCTGACAAAGCCTGAATCGGTGCCTGACATTGTCAGTGACAGATGCCTTATTTCCAGGCTAGCTCCCTCAGACATTTGATTATTTGATTATTGCTGGAAGATATGTTAATTTTATCCCAAATTGTACCTCCAGATACAGTTGGGTGGGCTACAGTTAAGCACCCCCGCCCCTCTCACCCAATATGTATGTGTGCATCCAGTAAAAGAAAAGATATTTTTTTTACTAATTTACAGGACGGCAGCATCTATAGCTTATGGTTTAGATAAGAAAGGTGGAGAAAAGAACATCGTTGTGTATGATCTCGGTGGAGGAACATTTGATATTTCAGCTCTTACAATCGATCAAGGTGTTTTTGAAGTTCTTTCAACTAATGGAGATACACATTTAGGTAAGTCCATGTTTAAAATAATACGTATATTTAAAGGAGGGCTCCATCCTTTTTGCAGATTCGTTTTATTTTATACTTTATTTAGGATTAATACAAAGTCCAAATCACTTTATCTTTCGTTTTTTTTATAGTTCAAAATTTCGTTTTACTTGTCTTTACGACACTAGAATCTGGAAGAGTTATTATATAACACGCGTTCTGGATGATGTGAGGGATTAGCCGATGAAACCATCTGTTACGGCGACTTCTTAGCGTGCCATGCACGGAACTGTGGGTAAACCACTAGAAACGTCAGCGCGGATTGATTAATCATGTCTGACGTCGTATAGGTCTGACGCGGCCTTCCACTACAACCGGTCAGATCTTGTCATGCCATGCACGGAACTGTGGGTAAACCACTAGAAACATCAGTGCGGATTGATTATTCATGTCTGACGTCGTATAGGTCTGACGCGGCCTTCCACTACAACCGGTCAGATCTTCATGCAGTGTAGACCATCAAAAGTATAAAAAAAACGAAACGAAATATAGATGTGTATTTTAATCCGATTGACCTTTAATTAACTTACAAATATTATTCTCATCTCAAACAAAATAAACAAATCATTACGAAGGAATGTGATTCCATCTGGTAGACAATTTTCATTTAAAAAAGGTCTGAAAAGTACATGAATTAAATTCTATCCAGCCCCCCAAATTATTTGAATGTCATAATTTTATTTTTTTAGGTGGTGAAGATTTTGACCAAAGAGTAATGGAGTATTTCTTAAAAGTTATCAAAAAGAAAAGTGGTAAAGATATTAGAAAGGACAACCGAGCTGTACAGAAATTACGTCGTGAAGTAGAAAAAGCCAAAAGAACCTTGTCTTCCCAACATCAAGCTAGAATTGAAATTGAATCTTTATTCGATAGTGAAGATTTCTCAGAAACTTTAACCAGAGCTAAATTTGAAGAATTGAACATGGTAAGAAAATTTCCTTGTTGAGAGAGAGAGAGAGAGAGAGGAATGGGGTTTAATATCCACTCGACATATAGTTAATTAATTTTATTTCAATAATTCGCTTGCACGTAGGGATCTTTAGCAGTGGGAGGAAATCAGAGGGCCCCGAGAAAACCAACGAGGTTTGACAGGCGACCCTACTCCTTGTCACGTACAAACAGGGAATATTTTCTCATAGATCTTTGGGTCTGAGCTCCATACCTAAGACAATTCTTTTTTGCTTTATAGTCATAATAAAAGCCCATATTATATTTTTTTATTTTACTTAAACCAAAATAGATAGGATGTGTGTACAGAGGGGATGATATGAACCTCTCTGCCTGGCCCATAATGTTAAGCTGCAACTTCTTGAGATTCGATCCCTGCATTGGCCGAGAAAGTTCATCCAGATTTTCCGGCGCGGTTCTCCCTTGTCAGTGATGCAGGACGGAGGGCCTGACAAGGACAGCTATCTAGTCGTTCAGATGGGACGAAAAACTGAGGTCCCATTTACACATTGGCTTGCACGTAAAAGATCCCTTGATAGTTGAAATTCGATATAAGAGTAGAGGCCGTAGTGCCTCTGTCCAGGCAAATTTCCCTCATAGCACATTGTATGGCGTATGCCCGTCTTCAGTAGGACCTTAAACCCCATTTCATTTCATTTCTTTTAGATTCTCTAAAACACACATTTTTTTTAATGTTTAGGAGTTGTTTCGATCGACTTTGAAACCAGTAACGAATGCTTTGAAGGATGCTGGGTTAGAAACTTCAGACGTAGATGAAATCATTCTGGTTGGTGGCTCAACACGTATACCTAAAATTCAAGAACTTGTGAAAACGTATTTCAGCGGCAAGGTAAGATGATCATATTTACATAAATAAATTTATATGGTTAAATCAAACCGTTAAGAGTTCCTATATATTAACAGAAAAGCAAAGTAGTGATTCAGCTCCTTTTCATCAGGCAGTAAACTAGCAAGAAAGTAAGCAATATGATTTCATTATACACAAGAGATTAGATTTATATTAAATGTCATTGTGCTTGATAACGATAAGAGGATACTTGTCGAAACGTTGTGCTTTTAGAATAAAACTAGTGATTGTTTCCCATAAAAAAATTGTGTTCCGTTATTGTGTTGCCAAATCACTAAATGCCACTTAAAGATTAGATTTATGTGAGTCATAAAATGAAACTTATTTATGGGGTTCACAAGAATCCTATTGACTGACAGCAACAATAACATCCAGAATATGCTTACTTTTTAAAATCTGGTGAAACCTCTATCATTAAAATTGATGATATGATCAGGTTGGAGTTTCTATAAAACAAATGTTCACATTAGACATGTATCCAAAAGGGCCTTCCGTATTCCAACAAATTTCATTCAGTGAAAATCTAACAAATGCATTCTATTATTTTAAACAATATTATGTGTTCTGCAAATCTAATTTATCATTAAATCAACATTTTGTTACAGGAGCCGAATCGTGGTGTCAATCCTGATGAAGCTGTTGCCTATGGTGCTGCTGTACAAGCTGGTGTCCTTGGTGATGAAAAGATGGATGAAAGCTATGTTGTTCTGGATGTTAATCCAATGACCCTTGGCATAGAAACCATGGGTGGCGTCATGACCAAACTTATTCCCAGAAACACCGTCATTCCAACCAAAAAATCTCAGATCTTCTCTACAGCTGCCGATAATCAGCCTGTTGTTACAATTCAAGTTCTTGAAGGGGAGAGAACTATGGCCAAAGACAATCATTTATTAGGTAAATTTGATTTAACAGGAATTCCCCCAGCTCCACGCGGTGTCCCCCAAATTGAAGTCACTTTTGAAATTGATGTCAATGGTATTTTAAAAGTGTCTGCCGAAGACAAAGGAACAGGTCAGAAGAACAACATAGTGATAGAGAATAATGACAACCGATTAACACCAGCACAGATCGAAAAAATGTTGAAAGATGCAGAAAAATTTGCAGAAGATGATGAAGCACTTCGTAAAAAAGTTGATGCCAGAAATGAACTTGAAGGTTATGTTTATTCGTTATCCAATCAGATTGAAGATAAAGAAAAGCTCGGATCTAAACTAAGTGAGGAAGATAAAGAAACGATAAAAGAAGAGATTCAGGGAAAAATGAAATGGTTAGAAAATTATAAAGATGCTGACGCCGAGGAACTGAAATCACAGAAATCAGAATTAGATCAGATCGTTCAACCAATTATTTCAAAACTTTATCAAAATTCTGACTCGGATTCAACAACGACAGATAACGATAGAACTGACTTATAGATAGATGTGATTTGAAAATTCTGAAATGTCTCTAGATGATGACTCGGGTGACTCTCAAATAATTATCTGTGGACAACATCATAATATCGTCAGGGGTCGGAAATACTAGGACTAATTTACACGTTTTTAAAGCTGTTTGTCTTGAAGTTAGGCTACAGCAGATTGCTAATGGTTGTAGACTGTTTCCACTCGTCAACCAAATTCAAAAACACGATACTTAAGAAATGTTTTAATTGGTTTATATCATACTTTTGATACTTGACAGTGATATGATTGAACATTGTACATAAAAATCATCCACAAATTATTATTATCGAGAGTCATCACTGCCTTAGACATCTGTGATAAAAGTGCAATTATTTTCCCTGTTTTATTTATTGTGAAATTGTTTTGAAGAAAGTGAAGATAAGTGTGCTAGTTTAATGTAGAGGATGATTCGACTTGTATATATTATATTTTTTATTCCTAAGAGAAACGTGATTTCTGTGGGTGAAAATGGTGGATAAATGAATAATAATGTACACTTTGTATTTTATGTTAAAGGTTCTGATCCGATTTGATTTAGATCCAAATAGATTTATAATATAGGTTTATTTGGTGGGTTCTCTCAATTAATGATGGCGCTAGTCCTATGCGATTAAAAAAAAAAATTCGAAAAATTAAGCGGATGTTGTTGTGTCGTTTACTAATTTTAGTTTAATTTTTGGCTTACTGTGTAGTCAGTGGAAGATCAAATCGGTCAACTGGATTTATTGAATAGATGTAAAATTTGCAACAAAGATAAATTGTCAACCCACATCTAATAAAATCAACAATTTTTATTTTTGGACCAAATCATTTTGAGTATGGATATATATAGGCCCTACATGTATATATTTTAAATAGATTTGATTTGTATATTCTATTGTCTGTACATGTAAATAATAATTATATATATCTTATAACCGTATTACATGTATATAATTTCTATTATTATTTTTGTTGAGATATCGAATAATAAAACTATTGATTTTTATTAAAAAAAAGATAATGGTACAGAATTTTTTATGTTTTTTTTAACGAAACAGCAGGTTATTTGTTATATATTACCATTTAGGGTTGGAGGAGCTAGACCTCAGTCATTTAAGGTCAACATAATGGTGAAATGAAATGAAATGGGGGTTTAGCGTCCTACTGTTCTGCTCCGACTGGGCTAATGAAGACGGGCATACGCCGTACAGTGTGCTATGAGGGAAATTTTACTCGGACAGCGGCGTAATTCTTGTATCGAATTACAACTGCCAAGGATCTTTTATGTACATACCAATGTGTACACAGGGTTGTCGTTTTCTGTCCTATCCGAACGACTAGACAGCTGTCCTGCACCCCGCTGACAAGGGGAAACAACGCCGGTAAATCTCAATAAACTTTCTCTGCCAACACCGGGATCGAACCCGCAATCTCTAGGCTAGCGAGCCAGCATCTTACTCACTTAGCCACCGTGGCTCCGAAAAATAATCCTCAAAATCCTCAAAACTGGCAAATCTCACCAAACAAATCAACACATAAAATCACAAATCTAACAGGTACCTGGGTCAATTCAAGACAATTGGGGGTAAGCCATGTTCCTGAAGACGTATATATACTATTCAAAAAAAGTAGGGGATATTTGATTTTGGGGGCATAATACTAAAATATGCAAATGACTACGAAAAAAGTCACTATAGAACCTAACAGAAGAAACATTTCCAGTTACATGTGACGCCCAAACGCACCAATAGCTACCGCATGGAATGCAGGTGATGCTTGGGATCATCATGGGGGTCCAACCCAAGATTTGCACGACTCTGACTTTGAATGTTACAGTCATTGTGGCATTGAATTCCAGGGTGGAAACATCAGTTTAATTGTTTTAGTGACCAGAAAACAAATTTTGATATGCGTCGGCTTACCCAAAATGAAAGGTTACGTGCCCTTGGCATGCTACAGATCGGCACAACACAGGCGGTTGTGGCGCGGACGATGAATGTTTCTCAGTCTGTCATAAGCAGGCTATGGTCCAGATACCGTGATACACAATCTGTACAGGACAGACCACGCTCAGGTCGACCAAGGGCGACAACTCAAGCCCAGGATCGATTTATCCGTACCTTGGCCTTGAGAAATCGTGTCATCACAGCAAATCAGATCAGCGCTCGTCTTCAAACAGACACTGGTGTGAGAGTGAGTGGCCAGACGATTCGGAATCGACTGCATAGGGGTCACCTTCGCGCCCGACGTCCTCGCGTGATCCCTTGTTTGAGAGATCATCACATTCAGGCAAGACGTCGTTGGTGTAGGGATCGTCAACACTGGGATAATCGACGCTGGAGCAATGTGATGTTTTCAGATGAGTCAAGGTTCACTGTTGATTTTTTGGACAGACGTAGGAGGGTGTGGCGTCGTCGAAACGAGCGCTTCCAAGACGTTAACGTCATCAGACATGATCGATTTGGGGGTGGTTCTGTTGCTGGAAGAACGGCTTTACATGTTGTTGCAGGGCGTGTTACAGGCCAGTACTACCGGGACAACATCTTGGCAGTCCATGTTGTGCCGTTCGCACGACGTCATGGCCGCCGTTTCATCTTCCAGGATGACAACGCAAGATGTCACAGGGCCAGGATCGTTACAGGTTACCTCCAACAACAGAACATCACCACATTACCTTGGCCAGCACTGAGTCCCGACCTCTCCCCCATCGAGCATGTCTGGGACATGCTTGGACAGAGGTTACGTCAACGTCAACAACGTCCTGCCAATGTCCAAGAACTTGCTGCTGCGTTGCAACAGGAATGGGACAATCTGGACCAAAATGACCTTAGACGTCTCATTAGGAGTATGCCACGTCGGATCAATGCTTGTTTGGCAAACAGAGGAGGATTTACCCGTTACTGACTTGGTTGTGATGCTGTGGTAACTTTGCTGTTTGACCCCGGGTATCATTTTACCCTTATAATGGTCAGTCTGTGCCTTACTTAGTCTAACGATCATTTGGAATAAATCGATGAATGTGAACTTCATTTCATTTTGTTATTTGTTTCTTCGTCAGTTTCATTAGGTGACTTTAATAACACTTAAAAATCAAATATCCCCTACTTTTTTTGAATAGTATAGTTAAAGTGAGATCAAGCCGTCTATAGAAGATGTGGGTAGAGAGAGAGAGAGAGATGGGGGGGGGGGGGCGTAACGTCTACTTGACACAAACTAGGTCATTTCGTGACTAACATGGTTCAATTTTATTTCAATAATTTGCTTGCGTGTAGGGGTTTTTAGCAGTGGGAAGAAATTGGAGGACCCGGAGAAAAACCACGAGGCTGGACAGGCAACCCTACTCCTTGTCACATACATGACGTAGACTCTGTAATTGCTAGGCCCTCCGTTCTGTACGACCCTGGACCTCCTGGTTTGTGTGGACTGCAAGGGAAGACAACTCTGTTCAGGAGATTGATCCAACCCGCTGGACCTCCTGGCTTGTGAGGAGCCAGCATCTTACTCACTAAGCCACGAAGGCTCCAAGTTTGAAGAGTATGATTAATGAAAATGAGAAGAATGTCTATCGGTACAAATTATAAGACAATTTTATTATTATAATTTCATCGATTAAATCAAAGAGACAATGAAACATTTTAAAAACACCATAGGCAGATTATGTTTAAACAAAATTTTGTTCTTAAAGTTCTAAGTACCTGTACAAAAATGTCAATATGTACACCAAAGCAATTATTTTTATTTGTCTGTGTTAACGACTAATTTCTAGTCTGAACAGAACTGAGTCAAGGAGTTTGAACTCTTTTGAAGACCAATATCTAGTAGAGGAAATCAGAACTAAATCATCAGCAAAGAGAAGGTGTGAAATTTTGGTATTATCTAGAGTGGGTACATCGTTATTAGAATTGGTTAAAAAAGTGTGAAGATCATTAATATAAATATTGAAGTGGTGCAGGACGAAGGGCTTTCTAGTCATTCGGATGGGGCGAAAAACCGAGGTTCCGTGCATGCACGTAATAAAAGATCCTTTGGCAGTTGGAATTCCATATAAGAGTAGGCCATAGTGCCACTGCCCAGGCCAACTTTCCCTCATAGCACACTGTATAGCGTACATGTCCGTCTTCATTAGCACAGTCGGAGCAGAACAGTAGCACATTAAACCCCATTTCATTTCCATCGGTAGTTAAGACGCGATCGTGATTAATCAAATTCGTTTCGTTCCTAGTTACGTTCCAAAATTTCAGCCAACCAAACTCTAGAGTGAGAGTTAAAAAATAAACAAACGTGCCAAGTTTAATTTAAAACTGATATTAATCTACGTTTATTTACGTTGATTTTATTTCTAGCTTGCCTTTCTCACTATAAGTTGACTAAATTTGAAAATGACGACATATTTGAGTGAATTTCATCAGTATTTTCCATCTTTCCAAAACCAATGTTTCGTCTACACGTCAACTGTCTTTGAACTGACAAGTCTCAACTATCGTCCAATCAAACTATAACACGAATTGCTCAAAAAGAAAATTATTACGCCACAAGATGTTGATATCTGTATGATATAATAATCATCGTTTCAAGTTGTAGAAACGAGAGAGAACAGATATCTTCAAACCAAGTAATTACAATTAATTATGTTATTTCGTTTCGTTAAATAATGACTGTAAAACTGTTAATTATTGGTCATTTGTTTGTAAACAAACCTACGTGTTTTCATGACACGCAAAACTGCCAATTCATTCAGCCAGGTATCAAAGATATTGATCATGTTTTCTACTCAAAATGGATTAATTTATGTTTCATTTTGCAGACGAGGAATATTATTATACTCTGGATATATAGCCTACTGTTATGAACGAAACAGAAAGAAGAAAATTCAATTGTTTGTAACTTGTTAGGCCTACATCAGTACCATCTTCAATAGAAGGCTTGATCTCGCCTTAACTACGTATATCTTATCAAACTCGCGGTCAGTTGCTTCAGGAACATGCATCAGTACATGCAGCTGAAGAGATATAATGAATGAAAGAAAAAAGATGATGATGTTATTGATAGCTTTAAGCTGTGGACTTACAACAGCTTTAGCGAACGGGGTTAGCAAACAAGATGAAGATCCTGTAATTGGAATAGATCTTGGTACAACATATTCATGGTAAGCCATTTAATAATCTTATACTGTACATTTCATTTTTCAAAGGGGGAGCCATGATGGCTAAGCGGCCGGTAAGACGGTGGCTTGGAGGTCGCGTTGGCCAAGAAAGTTCATCAGGATTTTCCAACATGGTTTCCCCTTGTCAGTGGTGCAGCATAGAAGGCCTGACAGGGACAGCTGTCTAGTGGATCATGGCACGAAAAACCGAGGTCCTGTTTATACAAAAGATCCCTTGGCAGTTGGAATTCGATATACATATACAAGAGTAGGCCACAGTGCCGCTGCCCGGGAAAAATTTCTCTTATAGCACACTGTATGGTGTATGCCAGTCTTCATTAACCCAGTATAGGAGCAGAACAGTAGGACGTTAAACCACATTTCATTTCATTTCATTTCATTTTTTCAAAGTGGGGGGGGGGCGATGGATGGCCAAATGGTAAGCATGTGTGCGTTGCATCATAAAGTCTGGCATCGAGTCAACTGGCGTAGTTTCGATTCCCCGGTTGTATATGTGACAAGGAGTAGGATCGCCTGTCCAACCTCATGGGTTTTCTTCGGGTCCTCCGGTTTCCTCACACCACTAAAGACCCTATATATATGCGCAAGCGAAGTATAGAACCATATGTTAGTCCCGAAATGACCTGGTTTTTGTTGAGTTTACCTTAAACTCCATTTCTCTCTCTCTCTCTCTCTCTCTCTCTCTCTGGAGTTTTTGTGATAAACAGAGTCTGTTTTATTTGTTTTATTTTAGTGTTGGCATTTCTATTAAAGGACAAATAGAAATTTTACGAAATGACCAGGGTAATCGAATAACTCCATCCTACGTAGCTTTTACAGATAAAGGTGAGCTTCTTATTGGTGATGCTGCCAAAGATCAGCAGATCTCTAACCCTGAAAATACTGTCTTTGACGTTAAACGTTTGATTGGTCGAACCTGGGATGATCCATCTGTTCAGAAAGACAAAGAATATTATCCATTTAAAATTGTTAACAAAAATGGCAAACCACATATCCAAATAACTGTTAAGGGTCAGAAACGAATCTTTGCCCCTGAAGAAATATCCGCCATGGTTTTAGGAAAGATGAAGGCAATCGCCGAGGATTATTTGGGTAAAAATGTAACCAGGGCTGTTGTCACAGTTCCTGCCTATTTTAACGATGCCCAACGTCAAGCTACCAAGGAGGCTGGAAGAATAGCTGGTCTAGATGTTTTGAGAATTTTGCATGAACCGTAAGTATTTTCCCTCAGGTTATGGGGAGGTTGGATGGCCGAATGGTTAGCACATGTGCGCTGTATCATAAGGCCTGTCATTGAGTCAACTGGCGTGGTTTCAAATGTTCGGTTGTACGTGACAAGGAGTAGGGTCGCCTGTCCAACCTCGTGGGTTTTCTCCGGGTCCTCCGGTTTCCTCCCACCACTAAAGACCCCTACGCGCAAGCGAATTATGGAAATAAAATTGAACCATATGTTAGTCCTGAAATGACCTAGACTGTGTCGAGTGGATGTTAAACCCCATTTCTCTCTCTCTCTCTCTCCCTCTCTCTTTCTCGGGTTATGGCTCAAGCTGGCTTTCTCTTGTAGATTTTAAATTCTCAATCAGGACAGATTCTCATTCCACAAAATACATGTACTTGTAAATTCAAGTGAAATTGACAATTTTATTTTTGACCCAAATCAATTGTAATCAAACAAAATATATACTATCTTAGATACCATCTTGAACTTGATGTTCATAAATAGAAATGAATATTCCTTCAATAGAAGGTAATGTGTGGATTTAGATGGATTTGGCGTAGTTTAATTAGTCGTAAGACCACTTTCTAATATGATATATTTATACTTGCTTTTTATTCTGAAGAACATATATTATTCATAATAACACAACTTTATGGATTTACTACTTCTTGGTTTATTACATGCAAAGTTTCAATACTCTTACAGGTATATTTATCAAGCAATGATCAATAATGAATAACAACCTACATTTATAGTACATTCATGAGTAAGACAATAAAAACATAACATCAATTAATGGTTATAACAACAACCAAGAAGTAGTAAATCCATAAAGTTGTGTTATTATGAATATTATACCTCTACTTCTAAATGTCATTTAAGGATATTAACATATATTATGCCTTTAATTTTGAATTCTGTTAATGGTTAATTAGCTTATACCCTGATTGGTATTAACAGTATTAACCATGAGTTTATTTTTACCAAACTGGGATTGCTTGGTCAATAAAACCTTATTGAATTTCAGACTTACTATTCAATTTTATGAATAGTTACATTGCCTCTGTAGACATCAAAGCCTTGCTTCAAAATGCTGCTGGTAGGCGTAAATTCGTTCCCTGGCAACTCTTATCTTTACATTTACAGGCAAGCAGCATCTATACATGTATAGCATATGGTTTACATTTACAGGCAAGCAGCATCTTTAGCGTATGGTTTACATAAGAAAGATGGAGAACAGAAGATTGTTGTTTATGATTTGGGTGGAGGAACTTTTGATATCTCTGCTCTTGATATAGATCATGGTGTATTTGATATTCTTTCTACAAATGGAGATACACATTTAGGTAGGTCATCTTTAGATATAATAGTGTCTCTGTAATACCCCCGTCAGACCGAGGTGCCGTCCTTACTGCGCTGCTACGGCGACGGAAAACGGTCAGAGAGCGCGTCAAGATTGCCATAAGCATGGATAAGGCGTGGTGGAAAAATCGGATATCGGGCTATGGTCGCCAGTGATCACAGAGTCACAACATTTCTTTTTTGAGCGTGTTCAAAAGGTTCTGTGATCTGACCTGGAAAGCTGTGAGAAAGTGACTTTTTTCATGTTTGTAATTTTTGGGGACATTTTCTCGCTTTGTGTTCACGTTTGTCGGCGACCATGTGCATTTTTTGGTCGCCATACGGTCGCAACAGCACAGTAAGGATGCCACCCTGGTCTGAGAGGGACATTATCTTTAGGAATACCGTAATAGTAACTGACGACAAAAGGTAGTTTATGCTACCTCCAAGCCTTAACTGAGCATTTCCCTGGCTGCAGAGCTATTACTATGTGGGAACCATTAATGAATGAAGCTGGGTCTTGAGAGCTAAAAATGATAACACAAAGAACAATCTATTGCCGTTTTCATGGATAGGCTTGTTTATAAGACTATCATGAAGGTGTGACGTGAATCATTCCTGCTGTATTTGTGTGATAACTTATAAACTGTGATACTCATTTGTTCTTTGTCTGATTTCATTATCAGGAAGGGGATAGTATATATATATAGGATGACCGAATGGTTAGTGCATGTGCGTGCTATATCATAAGGTCTGTCATTGAGTCAACTGGCGTGGTTTCGATTCCCCGGTTGTAGGGTACCTGTCCAACCTTGTGGGTTCTCTCCGGGTCCTCTGGTTTCCTCCCACTGCTAAAGACCCCTACGCATAAGTGAATTATTGAAAGAAGATTGAACCATATGTTAGTCCCGAAATGACCTATTTTTTGTCGAATGGACATTAAACCCCATTTCTCTCTCTCTCTTCTTATCAGGAACTAGGATGATGAATACTCATGGCAGTCTTTGTGTAGGGGAAGGGCGGGAGGGTATTAGGGACTAATATATGGGGTCGTTTGCAATGGGAGGAAACTGGAAGACCCGGAGAAAACCTACTCCTTGTCACACACAAGCAGGGAATGGAAACCACGCCACTTGACTCAATGACAGACCTTATGGTTTCGAGCGCATGCGCTAAACTACTAGACCACTCATTTTATTTTAGGTGGTGAAGATTTTGAGCAACGAGTAATGGAGTATTTCTTAAAAGTTATCAAAAAGAAAAGTGGTAAAGATATCAGAACGGACAACCGAGCTGTACAGAAATTACGTCGTGAAGTAGAAAAAGCCAAAAGAACCTTGTCTTCCCAACATCAAGCTAGAATTGAAATTGAATCTTTATTCGATGGTGAAGATTTCTCAGAAACTTTAACCAGAGATAAATTTGAAGAATTGAACATGGTAGGTAATTTACATGGTTTGGTTTAGGATCAGAGTCAGTTGTAGTTTGAAGCCTGTATTTTTCCTGATTAGTAAATTGTGTCGTTGTCCTGTTTGGCCAAATGTTTCACAGAATATCAGTAAGTGATCAAATTTTGCACAGATTGATTTGGCCGATTGATTCGGCTAATGAGTCCACCCAGGCCCCCTGCAAAAAGTCTCCCCCCCCCCCTCCCCTGTGAAAATTTTTTCGACCAATAAAAAAAATAGATATACATTGTTCGTCAATATGACAGCACCCCCGAGAACACTTCCCGCCCCCCCCCCCCCCCCCCGTGGCTCTGAGCTAGTTACGGCCCTTTAGGTTATCGGTCATTATGAAATGGTTGGATTTCTGCTCTCTGTGAAATGAAATGAAATGGGGTTTAACGTCGTACTGTTCTGCTCCTATACTGGGCTAATGAAGACGGGCATACGACATACAGTGTGCTATGAGGAAAGTTTTGTCTGGGCAGCGGCACTATCGCCTACTCTTATATGGAATTCCAACTGCCAAGGGATCTTCTATGTGCATTCCAATGTATTCACAGGACCTCAGTCCTGCATCACTGACAAGGAGAAACCATGCCGGAAAATCGTGATAAACTTTCTCGGCCAATGCAGGGATCGAACACCCGACCTCCAGGCTAACGAGCCAGCGTCTTACCCACTTAGCCACGTGATCCCCCAGTCTGTGAAAAAGGTGAATATTTCAATAGACTGAAGGCTAGTGAGGAGCCACATGAAACTCTGTAAAATTACATTATCTTTATTTTTCCATCACAATAACTTAACCAACAATGTTCTTTAAAATGTTCTTTTTTTTTTCTTCTTTTTTTTTTCATTATTTAGGATTTGTTCTGGTCGACTTTGAATCCAGTAAAGAATGTGTTGAAGGATGCTGAGTTGGAGATATCAGATATAGATGAAGTTATTTTAGTTGGTGGTTCAGCTAATATACCTAAAATCTCTCAACTTGTTCATATCTATTTTAACAAAAAGGTAAAAAATAATTAATTTAAAAAAATGAGAGAGAGAGAGAGAGACAGAGAGAGAGAGGGGGAGAGAGAGAGAGACACAGAGAGAGAGAGATATTAACCTCCACTCATACAAACTAGGTCATTTCAGGACTAACACATGGTTTTAATTTTATTTCAATAATTCGCTTGATCGTAGGGGTCTTTAGCAGTGGGAGGACCCGGAGAAAACCCACGAGGTTGGACAGGAGACTCGAAACCACTCCAGTTGACTCAATGCCAGACTTTATGATACAGCGTGCACATGCTAACCATTCGGCCATCCAACCCCCCCCCCCCCATGTTTTTATCGTATGTTGTCATCACATCCATCCATAGATGCATCAAACCCAATCTGATTAAAACACAGATCCTATTTCGTTTCGTTTTTTAGAGTTCAAAATTTCATTTTACTTGTCTTTACTACACTAGGATCTGGAAGAGTTGTTATATATAACCTGTGTTCTGGTTGATGTGAGGGATTAGCCAATGAAATGGTCTGTTGCAGCGAATTATTGGCGTGCGATGCACGGATTGTGGGTGTCGTACTAGAAACATCAACACCGATTGGTTAATCAAATGTCTGATGTCATAGGGTCAACAGCCGCTCATATAACCCCTGACGCGACTTCCCACTACCACTGGTCAGATCTTCATGACTAAATGACTTCTATGCACGACATGTTGATTGATAGAAATGTATGATTATCCAGTACCAATATTATAATTGTCTCAAAGGGTGGAGGCTATCTGAAAATTTTTATTCTGAACTGTTAAAGCTATTGAATTGAAAATAGCACAAGTAGTTAGGAAATGTAATTAACAAGGGAAAACTAGCACTAAAATAAGGTTGTTGCCAGGGTAACACATTTTTTGGGAAAAAATTATGAAAAACGTAGGTACACTATATCTTTGTAACTAATTAAGATATCTTCGCCAAATTTGCAGAATATATAAACTAATATCTACCACAGAATCAGACAGAAAGCAATTTGAATTATCATTAATATTTCAAAAGTTATCAAAATATTTCTCCAAAGACAAAATATTGTGGTGAGGCAAATGTTTTAAACACCATTTTCCAAGAAACTATAAAAATTTAAGAGACACACTCTCCGTCTGGTTTTGGGGTTATCACTAAAGAATAAGCAGTCCGAAAATGAGACCTGTATCTTTTTTAGTGCCAGAGATATGGTGTACCTATGTGTTACACTGGCAACAACTTTTTTTCTTTATTTTTAATGTTAGTTTTCCCTTGTTTATTACATTCCCTAACTACTTGTGCCATCTCCAATTCACTTGCTTTAGAATTTCAGAAAGCATTTTTCGGGTAGCCTCACCCCTTAATATTTGTCATAGTTGTGTACTTGACAAATGAGCCTATGGATTCATTCAAATATTTTTATAGATTTTTTTCCTGTCCCCGGAAAAAAATATAATTACCATGTAGTAATAATGAGCCCGTATTTTTAAAATAAAAACAGGATGTGCATCCCTTTTGAAGTGATGCAGGATTATCTGAGAATATTTTTGTTATATGGCCTAGTAAATATGTGACAGCTTTTGTTGACTGATGGGGTCACGGTGGCTAAGTGGGTAAGACGCTGGCTCGCTAGCCTGAAGGTTGGGGATTCAAACCTTGCATTGGCCGAGAAAGTTCATCCAGATTTTCCAGCGTGGGTCCCCCTTCTCAGTGATGCAGGACGGGGGGCCTGACAACCGAGGCCCCGTGTACACATTGGCTTGCACGTAAAAGATCACTTGACTGTTAGAATTCGATATAAGAGTAGGCCGTAGTGCCGCTGTCTGGGCAAAATTTCCCTCATAGCACACTGTATGACGTATGCCCGTCTTCATTAGCCCAGTTTGGTGCAGAACAGTAGGACGTTAAACCCCATTTCATTTCATTGTCGACTGATTACACAACTGTGGGTGTATTTTTTCATTACCTGACAACCTACATTATTTCCCCATTAATTGTTTCAGGTCTCAAGTTATTCTATAAATCCCGATGAAGCTGTTGCCTATGGTGCTGCTGTACAAGCTGGTTTCCTTGGTGACGAAGAGATGGATGAGGGTTGTTTTTGTTGCGATGTTAATCTCCTGACACTTGGTGTAGAAACTGTTGGTGGTGTCATGAAAACCATTATTCCCAGAAACACAGTCATTCCAACCAAAAAATCTCAGATATTTTCTCCGGCTGCCGATAATCAGCCTGTTATAATTAAAGTGTTTGTAGGTGAGAGAACTATGGCCAAAGAAAATCATTTATTAGGACAATTCTATTTAAACGGAATCACTCCAGCTCCACGCGGTGTCCCCCAAATTGAAGTCACTTTTGAAATTGATGTCAACGGTATTTTAGAAGTAGTTGCTGAACACAAAGGAACAGGGCAGAAAGAGAAAATATTAATAGAAAATATTTACAGTGAACTAACACCAGAGCAGATCGAAAAAATAGTCCAAGATGCAGAAGATGATGAAGGAATTCTACTTGGAGATATTTTTTAAATTTTATACAAAAGGTAACCCTGCCAACCCAGGTACAGATAAAATAGATTAATTTGTGCTGCGGAATACATATATTCACTACAATATATTAAATGTAGATACTGTAAAATAGATTTGATTTGAAGAATATTAATATTCCATGGAGCGAGAGAGAGAGAGAGAGGACACTAGAGCACCCAGAGAAAACCCATGAGGTTGGACAGGTGACCCTACTCCTTGTCACGTACAACTGGGTAATTGAAACCACGCTAGTTGACTCAATGACGGAAATGAAATAAAATGGGGTTTAACGTCCTACTGTTCTGCTCCTAACCTGGGCTAATGAAGACGGGCATATGCCATACAGTGTGCTATGAGGAAAATTTTGCCCGGGCAGCGGCGCTACGGCCTACTCTTATATCGAACTCCAACTGCCAAGGGATCTTTTATGTGTACGCCACTGTGTACACAGGACCTCAGTTTTTCATCCCATCCGAACAACTAGACAGCTGTCCTTGTCAGGCCCTCCGTCCTGCATGACTGACAAGGGGAAACCACGCCGGAAAATCTGGATGAACTTTCTCGGCCAATGCAGGGATCGAACACCCGACCTTCAGGCTAGCAAGCCAGCGTCTTATCCACTAAGCCACGTGATCCCCACTCAATGACGGACCTTATGATACAGCGCGTACACGCTACCATTCGGCAATCCCCCCAAGATTTAAAGAATACCAATATTCGCTGTAATACATTCCAGATTTGAATATTCAGTGTAAATTTGTCCATATTTTAATTTATTATTTGTCAAATCTTTATTGTTAAATATTGAAAATAATTTCCTTTTATTCATTATAAGATGTAGTCTTAATTAAAATTTTACCAACATTTTGTTTCAATAAATTTATCCAAATATTTACTCCTCTTCGTCTTGATTTGAAGTCATTTCTTTGTAAGGCATGTTCAGTAATACACAGGTTGTGATTGGTGGTATCTGATCAACTTACCAATCAAAACTGATGATACAGAAAATTTTCTAATCAAGGTCAAAGGTACAAATATGCTTATAAAACCTTTAGTAGGCTAAATCTGTTTGTTACGGCCAGCTCAATTTTTGTCAAGCTTGCTGAGATGTAAATAAGGTTAGGGCATGTGATTGTTGGTGAAATTGTAGGTTAGGTTTAGGGTAAGCATTAGGGCTAGGTCCAGGGTTAGGGTTAGGGTTGGGATTAGCGCTAGCCCTGTTTACATCTTGTGACCTTTGACCAAACTTGAAGTCGGCCTTATCAAATAGATCTTACCGTGGACAGAGGACTCGAGCAATCATTTTACAGACTTTTTGCTACTTATTTATCCAATCTGATTAAAATACAGATCTATATTTCGTTTCGTTTTTTTACACTCTCTCTATATCCTCCACCTGAAGATCTGAGCAGTTGTAGTGGAAGGTCGCATCAGGGGTCATACTATTGACTTTTGATCCTATGACCTCAGACATTTGATTAACAAATCAGCGGTGATGTTTCTAGTGGGATACCCACAGTTCCGTGCACCTCACGCCAAGAACTTGAAGTAACAGACTGTTTCATTCGCTAATCCCTCACATCATACAGAACGAGGGTTAAATAACAACTCTTCCAGATCCTAGTGTAGTAAAGACAAGTTAAATGAAATTTTGAACCATAAAAAACAAAACGAAATAGGAGCTGTGTTTAACCAGATTGCTTCTTTATCTTCTTTCGGGATGTGGAATACGAAGACTGATCCTGATTGAAAAGTTTTGAATAAATGGAATTGATTGAGTATGATAAATTTATATTATTTCTTTATTCAACATCTTTTCATTTTCTGTACAGACAATATGATAATATATTATTTATTTATTAACTTATAAATTATATTTGATTATGACTAATATTAAACAATAATCTTCTCCATGACAATACTGGTAGTTTAAAATGGGGTGTATTCATTGCAAATCAATAAATTATACAAATCTGTTAGTCTTGATCAATACAGCCCAAATTCTCCTTGGGATGTGTATAGTCCTTCGGATGAGAGAGAAAGAGAGAGAGAGAAAGAGAGAGAGAGAGTTTAACATCCTCCACTAGACACAAAAAAGGTCATTTCAGGACTAACATATGGTTCAATTTTATTTCAATAATTTGCTTGCACGTAGTGGTCTTTGGTAGTGGGAGGAAACCGGAGGACCCAGAGAAAACCCACAAGGCTGGATAGGCGACCCTACTTCTTGTCACATAAAACCAGGGAATTGAAACCATGCCAGTTAACTAAATGACAGACAGTGTGATACAACGCACTCACACTAACCATTCAGCCATCCAACCCCAGCCCTCCCCACCAGAGAAAAAGGAGTAGGGTCATCTGTCCTCCGGTTTCCTCCCACTGCTAAACACCCCTACGTGCAAGCGAATTATTGAAATAAAATTGAACCATGTGTTAGTCCCGAAATGACCTAGTTTGTGTCAAGTGGACATCTCTCTCTTCTCTGTGAATATTTGTTTTGATAAAATAGTAAATTCTATCAACATTTTCTTCTTTTTTTTAAAAAAAACCCCAACAAACTGCTGCTCTGCCCAAAAGCTTTTAGCTCAAAATTTACCTATGTAATTCATGCAAAAAAACTCCCCAGGCTATACATAACATGTATTTATCAAAATCCTGCAAATTTGGAAATCAAATCGATTTAAACTAACACAAATTATTATTAGAAAGGAGTGTTTGAGATTAAAGATGGACTTCCTAAAATCGGATTTATACAAATAACTTAAACATACATTATGCAAGAGCTAAATCTGCCTTGCCTATTGCAGGTCTTTCTTTAGGCCTGAAATGTTATCTAAACTATTAATTAGACATTTATTAACATGAAAAGACCATAATAAACACTCAATGCCATCATATATTTTCGTTATTAAGTAGATTAGAAAGTTTCAGCCATATTTTGATTTAATTTAAAAATGGTGAAGCGAGGCTTATCTTCGAACAAGAAGTGTAGTGGTTAGAATTAATGCACACATCTTGTCAAACCTTCAAAAACTAATATCATTGCTCACAATAGAGTAATTTGAATTAAATTTTCAATACAATCATTTTACATTATCTATTTTCGAACTTTTATAGCAAGAATGGCTAGCTCTTTATCTAAATCTTACATAATGTATGTTTAATAGGTTGAAAACAATGAAAGATCCTTGTAGCTAAAAGAAGTCATGATACAATGTTTTGGGTAATCTTGTAGTACAAAGTAATACATCCTAGATAAACAGTGAACTTGCTAGATAAACTTGTGAACTTGCTAGATAAACATGTGAACTTGCTAGAAAAACATGTGAACTTCCTAGATAAACATGTGAACTTCCTAGATAAACTTGTGAACTTGCTAGATAAATGAGAAGCAGTATCAGGTGTTCTAGAAAGAATAAGCATAGTCTGCACCTGTACATGACACCCTTTTCAAACCCACTTCATAGATTGACCATTTTACATTATTGAAATACTGTACATTCAAATATTTTACATAAAACATTAAAAACAATTGTTCATATTAAAACAAATAACCCTTGAAATCAAATTCAACAACCAAGGCTTTCAGCTCAAAAACCAAGGCTTTCAGTTGAACAACCGAGGCTTTCAGCTCAACAACCGGGGCTTTCAGCTCAACAACCAAGGCTTTCAGTTGAACAACTGAGGCTTTCAGCTCAACAACCGAGGAACCAAGGCTTTCAGCTCAACAACCGAGGAACCAAGGCTTTCAGCTCAACAACCGAGGCTTTCAGCTCAACAAATGAGACTTTCATCTCAACAACTGTACAATAAACCAAAACAAAACATGCCAAATAACAATTAAAATACATTTACACATTTCTGGAAAAAAACAATTTAATTTCCTGTAACTACTGGTCAGTATATATTAGTGTTGGAGATATTTTAAGCAGCCTACTTTCCTAAAATTAAAATAATAATGAGTTTTGTGAATAAAACAATGTAATTTGAATTTATTATTCATTGAGTGAGATATAAGATAGGCATATGATTGCCTTTTCAGAAATATTAAGACATCATTATCAATAACATTAATTTGTCTGTTAACACATTATTTAAAGTCATTCTGAGACTAACACATTTATTTTCTATAACAGATCTGAGAGGAAACAGTAAAATGAAATCTTTACTTAGATTAAGAATGTTTTGACTACTGTACTAACATTGTAATTATTGGAACTTCTGACTTAGGATTTAAAACTTAATCCATAATCACGACAGCTTACATTCTATAATCTATAAAATGTGAAACTGGAAGATTTTTAATTAAACCATGTGTGGAAACCGATGATTAATCAGTAAGTTAATGAGATTTCATTAAAAATTGATAGGAACAAGTAGATAATACATGAGCTTACTGGTCTACTTTTAATTGATTAACAGTTGTCATTAATTAATACTGATTATAGACACTGTATTATATAATATATCCTTCCTGGTAATACAGCTTAATTATATACAACAGTATTAGGTTACTGTATACATGTATATCAAAACTACCAGATTATGTATTTAATGTTTCCATTTAGCAAAGACAAACTGCCAGAATATCAAAACTATCAGATTATGTAATTAATGTATCGATTAAGCACAGACAAGATGCCAGAATATCAAAACTATCAGATTATGTAATAAATGTATCCATTAAGCCTAGACAAATTGCCAGAATATCAAAACTACCAGATTATCTTTTTAATGTTTCCATTAAGCATAGACAGCGAATCTCGACAATGCATGTGTCATATACATGTATTGAATAGTAATTACTTTCTATTCACCTGCCATGCAATTAACAGTACATGTAGGTAGCGCCACCGTTTATCATCATTAGATTCCTTTACTTTACAAGTGTTATGTGATTTTCTACCAAAACAAATCCTTGTTGATATTGGTCTATAATCCTTTCAAACTGTCATTTGTGACACAATGGGATTTTAATAAGGCTCGTCCATTTCACAGCACCACAGACTAGACTCTTACTTTTCAATCCTTCCTTACAGACCAAACAAGTGATTTTTTTCATGTATCATTCTTACTGCTGAGGAATCATACTTGGGAAACCAGCCCATATATTTTGGGCAATTCGCAATACCCTATTTTTTAATGCCAAATGAAATGACTTGATTTAAATATGTGCTAAAGGGATTGATGACAATGTTAGGCAATGTTTTTCTGGGCAGTGATGACAGTGTTTCAATAGGCTATAATTTCTATTTCATGCTTTACAGATACACATGTCTTTTGAATTATTTTGATAAAAACAAAAAACAGCTTTTGATTCCCTGATAATCAAGATAGTCTGACTTACATTTTTGCAGTTAAAGAGCACTTGCAAAATTCAGATTTGTAAACCTTTTAAGGCAGTAAAGAGTTGACAAGATCCTATAACCCTGTTTGTATTAAAAATTTTAACCGTACCCGGCATAGTACTGAAATGAACTTTTCTGTAAAGAGTTCCACATTTGACGTGCCTGGCACAGTTCTGGGACCGGTTATTGTAGGGTGATGTAAAAGGGACAATTTCTTTAAATTTGTCACAGGCTGGTACCATGCCAAGAACGGCACGCTTAACGCGATCTTATCAAATCACCATAACAGATTTTTTTATAAGAGAACTTAGGTTATCAATAACTCGATTAAACAATGTATTCTACAGTCATTAATCTAAAAAAATAATAATTAACAAATTTTATACATGTAGAATAGCATAATTACATTAATCAACATCATTAACAATAATTAATTAATCTTTTAATTAAAATTAATAAATAAAATGGAAATAAAAAATAAATGTACAATTCAATTACATTAATGTACATTAAATGGATTCAGGTTTAACAGTAAAGTGATCAACCAGTCGATGGAGGTGCGTGGGGTGCGTGGGGTGTCTCCAGTAACCAGATACATGTACCTTTGGATATTGTGTCCAATGTTCATAAACTAAACAAATAGGAGAATAAGAAGGTCAAATAAAACTGAATACTTGATTCTCATATTTGTCTCGATTTTGGAAAGTGTCAATTTTTTTTTTTACATTTTAAATTTTGAAAGGTTACATGCATGTACAATGTACTGTGCACAGCCAAATGAATACTCAGTACATGTACATTGTTGTCATATAAAAAGCAAGTTTTTATTGTAGTTTTGGATGTTTAAAGAGGAAAGTTAATATACATACATAGATTCCCTCTCACTCAATCTTTTTCAAAATTAGTGATCAGAAACCGGTAATTAAACATACATTATGTAAGAGCTAAATCTGTCGTCTATTGCAGGTCTTTCTTTAGGCCTGAAATGTTATCTAAATTATTAATTAGACATTAATTAACTTATCCAGGCCATTATCAATTCTCAATGGCATCGGATTTCTCCGAGCCATATTTTGATTTTAGCTAAAAATGGAGGAGCGACACTTAGCTTCGAACAACCGGTGCGGTGGTTGAAATTATTGCACACGTCTTGTCAAACCTTCAAAGACTAATATCTTCGCTCACAATAGAGTAATTTGAATGAAATGTTCAAATTATTCATTTTACATTATCTATTTTTGAGCTATTATAGCAAGAATGGCCAGCTCTTTATCTAAATCTTACATAATGTATCTTTAATTTCCTTTGTTCTAAATCCCTCTTTGTTTTAATTTCATTAAATTTCTATAAGGTTGAGAAGTGTTTAAGGCCCAGATACTACATAATATACATGCATACAGTTTTAAAGGAGAACTCCAACCTATGCCGATTTTTTTATGTTTTGTTCAATATTCAAATTTGTTATTAAAATCGTTTCAGGAATACTCAAGTTACACAACCCTAAATAAATAAATTTACCTACAGAGGCTTGTTTGTTTTTTTACGCCATAACTTGACAGTTCCCTTCACAGCGTTATAACTGGCATCTTAATAAATACGCTAAAATATAAACTCAATTTGTATCTTGA